TTATTTATTTTCAGGAGTTTCCATTTGGGAAATATAAAATGCTACTCAGCCAGTTTAATCTAACTGTAATGGTTCCACTTGGGTTTTGTTTTTCTTTCCTTTTTTCAAAAACCCAGACAAACGCGATGAGGACTGGCATGTGTCCTTGTAAACAAATTGCAGAAAAGCTGCAGCGTGGAGGTCTGCGTCTTAAACTGTGCCAAATCTCTTAATTTGTATTGTGCTCTTGACACTGCTGCTGAAAAGGCAGAGGAGTGGAGAAAAACGGAAAGTGAGGGGGAGGGAAGAGATGAAGGGAGATGGTCTCTTTGTTGTGCCTTGTTCACTTAGCAAGGATTCCTGCATGAAATGGGGGCAAAGGAGGCCAGGGCAGCGTCCTGCCAAGCCCCTGAACAACAGCAAGACAGCAGTGTTCTCCCAGTCTTTGCTTATTTAGCTGCAATGGGCTGCATCTCGGAATCTGAGTCTGAGTCAGTCCCATGTATCCATCTCCCTTGTTGAGAAAGGAAATAGCTTTGGTGAAACCAGCATTGTTTCTTGGACTGCTGCAAGTTCCCGACTCATGAATCTGTTGATTTAGCTGGCCTGTGTGTCTTGTTTTTATCTCCTGGGAGTTGGGAAGGTAATTTAAAGTACACGGGAGGCAAACTGCAGGGCCTCTACCATAACAAAACCAATAATATTTAAGGGAAGAGCTGTGGCTCAGTGGCAGAGCATTCGCTCTGCACACAGAAAGTCCCAAGTTCAATCCCTGGCACCTCCAGGTAGAACAGGACAGAGCCCTTTCTGAAACACTGGGTAGCTGCTGCCGGTCAGTGTAGACAGTCCTGAGCTAGATGGACATGATGGTGTTCTTATCTCCTGTGGCAGTAATTTAGCAGCAGGACTCTGAGCTTGAAGGAGTGGTACCATTATCTCTGTTTTGTCTAATATCAGGACAGTTTACATATTACAGCTGTAATTTATGGTGGTGGCTATGAACTATCCCACAGAGAGGCTGTTACCTTACTGTGAGCTGTTCATTTGCAGTTGCTCAGCAAAGGCATTGGTCAGTTTTCATCCTGCAAAAATAAGGGTCTGCTCTCGCTTGCTGAAAAACACCCAGTCTTCACAAAGGTCACAACTGTTTAACCTGCAGCTGTACTCTGTCCTACAACACATTTAAGTTGTAGTCTATGCTACAAGTGCCTAGCCCTAAAAGAAATTTACATCCTGCTGACCAGTTGTTTTGTGAGCAGGGCATAGTCGTGTGGGAAAGCTAAGGTGTAGACTCCCCCCCCCCAATTTCCCAGCTGTTTTGGTTCTTTTCCAAAGGTACAGATGTGTGTATCACTAGCTAATGCATTGGCCCTGTTGAAGTGTGAGCATAATTCCGATTTGAATACAAAACCCCTCATCCTGCTTGAGGCTGTGCACACAGAAGCCTGCATCCATGTGTACACAGGCCAGTGGTGGTGCAGGGCAGTTGTGAATCACTTGTCTGCTCGGACTGCACTCTTCCCTGACACTGATATTACAAGCATAGAGATCTAGGGGAGAGAGCTTCTGAGAATATTGCATGGAAACGATCAGGTTGTCAGTCTGCTGTCTTTTAAGAGCACTCTAATAAAATTGGCTATTGGTTTTAAACATGGAATTAGGTTTACTGCTTGCAGTGGAAGAGCTGGAAACATCTGACATCTCATTTCAGAGTTAGACTAGAAGCTCATTGTGGCAAAGCTGGAAGTGAAATATTTCTAGCCAACGGCATTAATAAATTGGATGCAAAACCAAAACAAGAATGGTGGGTTTATCAAGTGCACAAAATATATTTATTTAATAGCAACAGGTGCTAGGGTACAGATGTGTGTTTGATACTATCCCTACCCCCAAAAGAGAGATGCTTTAAATGTTTGATACTGGTACCTTACTATCATATAGCTGACATTTTGTTTCAAGAGCAACATAACTCATTCATCAATTGAAACATGCTGCAATCATTCAATTTCAGGCGTAGCATTTTTAAAAACTGAAGTACTGTAGGCAGAATGCCCTGTTTCAGACGTGTTAGTCACCCAGTCTCTGTATGTTGCTTTGACACCTCTGACTTGTTTTTAGAATGCACTTTCCCTAATTGGGCTGAGATTATATTCCAATTCACCAGGAAGACTTGTGCCTGCAGAAGGGTGCTGTGCATTTATTTTTAGAGTCGGAATGCTTCTCCAAGACAGCCTTTTACATATTGTAAAGGTTCCTGGCCTCTTCCTCCCTCCCTGTCTCTTAATTTGGAGTGTGTGCGTATAAGAAATATCAAACAGACTGCCACAGGCTTGGGAATTCTTGATGCATTTGTGTCTTGAAAGCTGGTTTAATGAACCAGTTGCAGCTACCTGCCTTTGTTGTCATTTGTCTCTAGAAACAGACAAAACCATCAAATACACTTTCAGAAAAGCTGGGTGGTGACATACTTAATAACATACCACAGTAGCTACCTGCTACCACAGAGGAGGGACAGTCCCATTTGATAATTCATTTTTAAAAAATGAACAAAACACCACTTGGTTTAGTATCTTGGCAGTCAACCTTGCCATCAGTGCCACCTTCAGGTGGACAAAATGGGGCTTGCCGACAGCAAAATAACTTCTAACTTGCAAGCTTGCAAGTCTTTCTTTGTAGCTGCTTCCTTACGTGCCCCACACCTGATGTCAGGTGGGTATGGGGGACATGGGCTTGTCGACTGGCTTTAACCCTATGTGGTTAGTACTGGGAATTTCACAGCTGAACCAGAGTCTATATTCCTGGATGTTTTAAAGTTGTTGCCTGCGTAATAAGTCATCTTTAGCACTCCAGCGCTTTTGCTACAATTTGTTTATTATTTATGTGTTATGTGCCGCTCTGGAAGTGATGCTGGTTTTGGAGTGTCAAGCAGCATTCACAGGATTCCCAGAAACACTGGTGGGGCTGTATCCACAACCTCTTAGGTTGAAATGGCCTGCAGCCCTTCGGTTACTGCTAATGTACCTCTTCCATCCTGCTTCACATTATGCCGGACTTTAGGGTGATGTAGTCCTTGTCCAAAGCCCTTACAGTTCCAGGAGACATGTACGAGGAAAGCAGGAGTGAGTGCTGGGTTCAGCCACGAAACTTTCAATGCAAGTCACTTTTCCTCAGCCTAACCTACTCCACAGAGGCGGCTGCGAGGTTCAGATGAGATAGCAATACATTAAAACAAAGACTGCTCACCTTTGGAATAGAGTGGGGGGGGGGTTTAAATAAATCAAGGCATTATGTTATATATCCGTTTTCTTTCCAATGTAACCTTGTTGACTCTAGTACAAAGTTTACAGCAGATTCCACACCCCCACACCCCCACCCAAATGTCTAAGGAGGGACCTCTACTTTTCAAATATGTTGAACATCCCAAAGTGGCTGGCCTGGAGTTGTTTGGTTGGCTCAGATACGCCTGCTTTTTAAGATCCTCTTATTTCCAAGTATCCTAAATAGCAAGTCGCGACCTCTGTGAATGGTTTTTATCATAAGCAGCTAAGAAATGATTCCTCCAGGGAGAGATTGCTGCAAAATATTGTCAACAGCAGTGCTGCAAGGTCTGTAGTAGCCTTTTAATGTTTGTTGGTGTTGGCGCAAAGTAGAATCTGTTATTTCAAAACAAGGAAAGAGACCCTGAGATGAAAATATTTAATAAGATTAAATATTTGTTAGTGCAAAACAGACGAGGATGAAAAAAGAGGGTGGGGTTTAACTAAGAACATATTCCTTCAGCTGCATCAGGAAATAATCAAGAGCCAAAAAGAGAGTGTCTGAACTTTTGCTCCACTTGAAACAATAACTAGGAACTTGCTTCTATTTTAGTTTTCTTGCTTAGCCCCTTGGTTTGTATGCTGTACAGCTTAAGCTTGCCAGGTGGGATATACAAATGAGATGCCACCCATTTTAAAAGTGTCCTTTATTCCGGAACATATCAAATGTACAGCCTTGTTACTTTTTACATTTGAGTCTAGCGGTCCTTGTGTAGCTATTCTCATGCCAATTAATTTTAGCCTTTGTTGAGCGTATTGGAGTTGAGCCTGAGAGTGGAATTCCATGTAGTGCTAAGTGGGGTATGAGGTTCATCTCCACAATGGAACTTTCTCTCCCCCCCCAACTCCCTGTGTAACCCCTAAACTTGCTCTGCCCCCCCCCCAAGCAGATATAGAGGCCAAGGGGTGGGCTAGTCCTGTTGCACGAGTGGACCACATTCTGCACATGCAACCATTAGCCCAGAGAGACTTTGATAGACCTTGCGGGAACTTGTCATCTCCAGAGCAGTGGTTGAGGGTAAAATGGACCATCTTTGGATACCCTTGAAAGGAGGAGGGAAGAGATACATGTGTTATAAATAAGATGTCTGGCCAGCTTGATGATTTGGGGCTTTGCTACATTCCTATGTAGAGGATGGCAAGGCTTGTTTTGTCGGCATCAGAAGTATGTCACATCTACTTTGTTTATCCTTGTTGGTTGGCTGGTTTGGGTTGTTGTGGAGAGGATTCAGTAAAGTGAGTCCCCACCTGCAGTTTGACGGGGTACAGCTGACAGCAGATGGGATTACCATCTCATGTGCAGCCTGTGAGAACAACACCATAGTTTGTAGGTGACACTTTCTGCTGAATGTGATGTCTCCCTCCACAGTCAGTTTTTAATTACTCATTCCTGCTATTGCCCTTTTTACTACTACATAACACTTTTAATTTAGACAGTATTGCAATCTTTAATGTGTTTGCTTTCAACCCAATCCTGTGAGGTAGCTCATTTGATACCCCATTTTCAGACCAGCAGTGAGGAACAGTGATGTGCCCAAAGTCTCACAGTGAGTCTATGGCTGAGCTAAGACTTGTTATCATTGAACACATTGGCTCTTGGGTAGCATTACTGCCTCTTAACTGGATTTTCAGCTGTCTTCTGGAATTGTGTCCCCATTTTGTTGGCAGCATAAGTGACGCCTGCTCTGTTTAATTTGCCTCTAGGTCATGGGGAATGCCACTGTGGGGAGTGCAAATGCCACCGTGGTTACATTGGGGACAACTGCAACTGCTCGACAGAGACGGGCCAGTGCCTTTCCAACGATGGCCAGATGTGCAGCGGACGAGGCAACTGCATTTGTGGGAAATGCCAGTGCACAGAACCAGGTGCCTTTGGAGAAACGTGTGAGAAATGCCCTACCTGCCCAGGCGTCTGCAGCACAAAAAGGTATTGTGTGAGCTAGCTAGAGTGAAAACCCTTCAAATAATAACTTGATGAGAGTGCCTCATTATGTCGCTTTCCAGCTTCATTGGTGTCCATCCCACCTGCCGATATACCTACAAAAATTCAGGAAGCAATGATGCATCACAGCTTGAACTTTACTTATCACTAGAATCCAGTGAGGTAGCTCATCAGTATTCCCATTTTTCAGCCGGGGAATCTGCAGCGGAGACATATGACATGTCTAAGACTACATCCATGAGTCCATTGTGCTTATTGCGGCTTATTGTAGATGAGACCGTAGCTTTGAAGTACTTTCCACACCTGAAGTCTTTGGCTCAGTTTTTGGCCTCAGCAGTTAAAAAGGTAGAACTGGGGGAAATCCATTTGAGCTAGAGGGTAGGAGACTCAACAGTCCCAGGATCATGCATCCACCGTCTGTCTTCATGCAAGGCAGCAAAGGATGTAGTTCTGTGGGAGAGCAGCTGCTTTGGAAGTAGAAAGTTCCAGGTTCAATCCCTGACATCTCCAAGCAGGGCTGGGAATGTGTCCTGGCCGAGAGCCTTGAGAACCACTCCCAGTCTGGATGTTTGTTTTGCTTAATGGCACTTGTTCAGGCTTGTACAGCTGGTGACACCCTGCCACCCCCAAGCTGAAGGCAACTCCTTGCTCTTGTACTGGAACCTGTCAGTTGTCTGACAACCTCCATTTCCCCCCAGTTCCAAATCATATAGCAAAAACAGGTTTATGAAGCTGTAATATGTGCCTGGTATGCTGTGTTTTCAGCTTGACAGTTCATATGTTGTGCAGGCATGCATTAATAGTATTGTGTATAATGAAATGCATGAAAGAATGCAAAATGATCTCAAGCAATATGCATTTTCTTTTTCATTTAAATTTAACACAGCCTTAACTGGCTAATTCTCTGTATTAGCTGCCAAAGGTTGGATACCTTCTCTACAAAACAGGACTGTCCTAAATATGATTTCCCAGTGCAAATCCTTTTTGGGGTTCTTCTTATCACTTCCCCTTTCTTCCTTTTTAAAAAGTATTCTTAGAGAGTGACTATTTCTTCTTGAATGGAAACCGTTTCTCCTTACATACAAGAAACAAATGTGTAGCCATGACCCCTGTACCAATAAAATCAGCAGCCTTTATATGTGGTTGCCACAGGGGAAAGGTTTTATTTTGAGAAAACGTCTCTGTCCATGTTTTTCGCCATGCAAATAGTGGTTGCTACAGTGCACTGAGACTTGTGGGGCAGAAGACAGGGAGGCCAACAGTAGGTGAAGCCAGAGAGGATAGACAAAACCAGTGACAGTTAGAACCCAGGTTGGTGGGGCAGTGCACCATTCCCTATGGGGGCAGACTCCACTGCACGTGGATGTGATTTGAAGGGAAGTCTATCAATCTCCTCTCATTCCTCTTTCTAAGGGACTGCATTGAGTGTATGCTGTTTAACTCAGGAAGACTGGCTGACAACCAGACCTGCCAAAAACACTGCCGGGACGAGATCATTACTCGAGTGGATGTTCTCAGTAAGTACAGGCAAGATAAACTAGGCAGAATCCTGGCAGAAGTCGATGCTGCTTATCAAAGTCTCACCACTTTAGGGGAAAGGGAATATGGAATGTATTTCGTTAAAATGTAGACAAATGGTTGGATGTATTAGAGTTGTAAGGGTAAGGAACATTAAAGAACAACTGTGTGCATAAGGTAGAAAAGAAGTAGCTGAGAGGTTGTATCTATACAATATATCTATTGTATCGATATATTGGCTAGTGATACAGGAGACAATTTTTCAGTTAAATAGGAGTGGTCCTTCTGTGGCCCTTCACTTGTTGCTGGACTACAATTCCCAACATCCCTTACCATTAGCCATGCAGACTGGGGCTGATGGGAGTTGCAGTCCACCTCTGAGTTAAAAGAAAATTGTTGCTGCATTATCTAATGGCAACAGATATAGCCAGTCGCTCTCTGTCTGGAGTACATTGTCATGTGGACTGAGTAGTTTGGTATCTCTGGACTTCAAGCTCTGTTGTGTTAAACCTTTTGTCACATTCCATTTCGTGTGTGTGTGGGGGGCATTGGTGTGTGGGGGGGACCATCACAGCTGTAGCTGCTCAGTTGTACTTGTGGGCTCAACCCCACTCTCACCAGTTCACAGACAATGACTATTTGCCAATGCAAATGTTGCAACATACTTTTTTTCTTCCTCTTTGTCTGTCTGTGGTGAGTTTGTTTGCTATTTAAATGTGACTCCATTATCCACTTTCCTAGGGAGAAAAGTCCAGATTTTTTCATTAATGGCATCCAAAACTGCCATTGTGTGTGTGTGTGTGTTCTTAAAAATGCCCCTTGAAGCCCTTCTGGTGCTTGTGTAAATACAGATGCCTACCAATCGCAAAAAGCTAACTTCAGATAACAACATGCATACAGATAACGCTGAAATGCAGGCTTTTCGTTTGAAGCTGCAGAGATAACGTAGCCAATATTGTGCTGAATTGCATGCAAAGCTCTTCCTGTGCAAACAGAAAAATTCTGGAGATCCACTTTTGGGAAGTGATTTGCACCAGCTTTACAAGTCTAGGGTAGAATTGAACTGAAACATTTGCATTCCTTACTTGCTCCTTTATGGGGTCCCAACAGAGGCATAGACTCTATGGCTTCTGTAGCCACCACAATTTGGACAGAGCATAAAATATGATGGCATAGTGATCATATTAGACTCCTTCAAACGTACTTCCTCACCTCTGCCCCAGAGTGTCCTATTGGGATCCAGCCTCTTCCAGGCTCTGGTTCAACACTTTCACAGCCTCTCCCGATTCAGACGGAATGGGGAGAAATATGTGTGCCATCCATGCTCCAAATCCCTGGATGACAGCTCCCACTGGCTTCATATAGAAGTTGAATAATATAGGAGAATGGACCCTTCTGCTTCACCTTCACATGCAGCGGCCAAACCTGCTATAGATGGGTTTTTCCTGCAAACCCATCTGACGGGCCTTTTCATTTCATATAACAGCCTGTCTTTATATGATCCACTGGGGGCCGGGGGAGAAACTGCTTGAAACAGCTGTGTCTGCCCCCCTTCCTCCCACGACTTCCCCCTTTCTCTCAAAAATGACCCTTCAAGCAATTTCTGGCGATAAAAACCATTCAGCACATTTTTGAAATGCAAACACAGTGGATTGATTGCAGTTTTGATAACATCTCCACTTTGTCAGCACTTTGCGCCTCAAAATGAGACTGTTGTCTATGGAGTATTCAAAAATGAAGGCAAGAGGAAAGCAAAAGGAATCCACAGGACAGAGTGCAATCCCTTGGCACTGAAGCCGGCATCATTTACCAGCCTCGTTTTCTCAATCTCCCTTTTGTTATTAGGGCTTTACTTATTAGCCTAAACCAGATAGGCCTTTCGTGTGCATTCTTCTGAAAATCTGTAGCTGGGTTCAAAAATGATGAGATGGAATGTCTGATCAGACCCTAGGAGCCTTTACAAATTGTTGGTTTATTGCTCAAAAAGTGAACTTGATACTTGGTTTTAGCAGTGTTCCAAACAACTAGCATGAGAAACAGTGGGATACACTGCTTTCCCTCAAATACCACTTAAGTTGTTTGTTTTAATTAGTTTTTGTTAACAGATGTACCTTAACCGTTCATTTTGTAACAAAAAAATCTTTGTCTCCACTTTCAATTCAGTCTTTTTCACAGTTCCTTTACATTTAGTGAGAGACACTTTTGTCATCAACATACTGCATTTGGGGGGAAAGAGAGAGTGGAGATTCTGTTCTTTTGTTCTATTGCCTATTATTACTGTTGGGGTTTGTGTCAGCATCACATGGGTAGGTCCTTTGTTTATGTATTTATTTTTATTGATAATGTGAGAGGTTAGGGGTCCGGTCCCGAGCTTGGTTGGCTGCATTCAGTTGATTGTGGTGTGGCTTGTTTTTTTTTGGGGGGGTGTAGGTTGTTGGGTCAGGTTAGCCAAATTGATTCGTATGCTGTTTGTGGGGATAGATCATGGTCCTGTTGTGCTGTGTATGTAAAGGAGAACCATACCGTGGTGAAGGTGTCCTTCTTTGATTGTCCCCATGCTAGTTTGTGTTTGTTGGTTAACGTTTACTAGTTTAACTTCTAGAGCAGATAGGGAACCCGTGGTCCTCCAGAGGTTGTTGGGTCTTCAGCTGCCATCAGCTCCAGCCAGCATGGCCGATGGTTAGGGATGATGGGAGATGCAATTCAGCAACAATATAAGAGCCTGCTGGATTAGACCAATGGCCCATCTAGTCCAGCATCCTGTTTTCACAGTGGCCAACCAGATAGATGCCTGTGGGAAACCTGCAAGTAGGCTCTGAGCACAAGAGTACCCTCCTGCAATTTCCAACAATTCAGAATTATTCTGCCTCTGACCATGGGGGCACAGAATTGCCTCCATAGTTCATGGAGGCAATGCATAGCCTCCATTATGGTTAGGTGTCTCATCCTCCATGAACTTCCCCATCCGTTTTAGAAAGTCCATCAGAACTTCTCCAGTGATGCACTAGTGAATCTATTTTAAAGAATTAGTTTGAAGAGCATTCATTTATTAAATGTGACTAATTCAAGATGTTTAGCAGGGTTATATTTGATTCCTCTCCTGACTGAATGTCTGTATGTCTGTATACCAGTTGCTCTTAGTTTGGTCTGAAGTTGTACATGTACAGGTAGGGATTTGTGGGCCATCTGCTATCACGAGTAATGAAGGTTCAGGCATCTTTGAGATAGAAGCTACTGCAAAGGTCTGTGCTTCTGACATGGTCCACAAGCCATCTGCCAAGCAGCCAAATGCTCACACAGTAAGAGAGATGAAAAGGGAAGACATCAGATTCTTAACATGGGAGCAGGAGCACAGGCAGATGGAAAGTAACCTGCTCATGGATACTTGAAGAGCCAATTCTCCCATACAATCCTGCCTCACCTATAAACATGCAGTTGCTGGGTAAATGGGATTTCCTTGTTTTCACACCCAGGCTTTGACACTCGTAAGTCTGAGGGGCCTTGGTGTTTTCCTGTGTGGTGGAAACAAAACTTTATTGTCAGGCTTTTGGCCTAGGCTACTGAATATTATTTTTTACTTTCTGTTATATCTACATAACTATTCAGTTTAATGCCTTCACTTGACCCTATTCAGCGTATCTATCACAGCATGTTTTTCTGTAATGCACAACATTGACCTTATCAGTGTTGAATATTTTAATCTCCATCTCCCCGCTACTCCCTGTGCCCCAACTGGATTGCAAAATTAAGCTTATTTCCAGACAATTACTTCCTCCATGGAGATTGGCATAAGGAAATGAAACTTCCTCTTCCAAAAAAAGCCTTCCAAGTTTCAGTTTTGTTTGGCCTTCTTTCAGAGAGACATAGAAATTCCTCTTTAAGGAGGGTGGGGCCATACCAACATCTCCTTTGCAATCTTGGAATTGTGTTTATCCATAGCTTTCAAAATGTTTAGGCATGCAGCCGAGTCAATCTTTCACCTACTCACTATGTTAATGGTTTCAACAATTTTAGACATTTGAATGGTTTCCTAATTTGCTCCATATGTACCAACAGGAAGGCCGTCATATTGAAAGGAATCCAGAGACCCAAGAGACTTAGAATCTCAACATATTCTTCCATTTCTGGGGTCAAAATAATGGTAATTCAAACATATGTTTTGATGCGCTGAACAAATGCCCAGCAAAACAAAGGGAGCATCTAATGCTGGGGATATGTTATAGGTTAAAATGCTTTTCAACATATGCCGCAATATGCCAGGGTTTTAAATCTTTGTGTTATGAATAGGATTGTCTTACTTTTTATTCCAGAAACTGATGACCCTCATTCAGTCTTGTGTGCTTACCCAGTGAAGGACTGTGTGATGAAGTTCACCTACACGGAACTCACCAGTGGAAAGACAAACATCACTGTTCTCAAGGAACCAGGTTTGTTATATTGTACATGCTTTGTGCTGTTTGTCCATACCACCAAGGCAAAAGTTTGGTTGTGAACTTGACTGGAGAATCCCTTAGAATATTTTGCTTCTTTTAACACCACTAAGGGTACAAGAGCTTGGATGTTGTCCCTAAATACTCTTTCCCTTTTCAGATGTGCAGAAAACACACGAGCAGTTTGAGGTATTTAAGGCGAACCAAGCCTTTCCCCTTTGGGGGCTTTAGTGTGGTGGGGCCACTTCCACAGCCCTGCCATGCACAACAGCCAGGGCTGAAAGTGAGGCTTTAAACTGCTGCACCAGCCTGGAGATGGTGCAGTGATTGAGCCTGATGCTGATGGATCCTAGGCTAGCACAGCCTCCCTGCCCCCCATATACCGTGTTTTGAGACCTTTCACTGGCTGCCCATAGAACTCCCTTGTGTCTGTATATTTCAAAGGGGCAGTTCTGCATTGCTCTGTTGAAGGCAGCCTGCAAGAGGCTAGTAACTTAGCTGGGAGGAGACAGCTGAGCACAAGAGGGGTTTGGATTGCTCTGCCTACTGATTAATTTTCATTATGGGGGACGGACTGCTTGTAGGTTAAGCCAGAAGAACAGATTCACATAGGGAGTGGTCCACAGAATACTAGTGAGAGGGGATGAAGGTTGATGGTCAGTAATCAGTGCCAGGCACATCTGGAGCACATCAGAAGGACCTTGTGTGATGGGATGATGAAGTCCTTACCTCAGTGTTGCAAGCATTCTTGCCAGAAGAAACATCCGAGCCAATTGGAGCTTATTGGCTAGACCCAAATCCCCACCCTTATTTTTAAGTCTAACTATGACCAAAGTAAAAAAGAATCTAGATAAGCAATGGTATAGCATGATAATCTAAAGCTCCTGATCTAAATAGCTCCAGACTTCGGGGAAAGAGTCCAATATTGGATTTAAAATTTAAAAAATTAATACTTTTTGTAGTCAAAAAGTTAGGCAATTTTGTGCCCTACCTTAGCTTTAGGAATTGAATGCAGTTGTGCCCCCCGGCCTTGGTCTCCTGTCAAATTAGCTGAGCTGTGAGCTTGAAGTGGGTGGGGCATCATTTTCAGATGGCATTCCTTTCTAGGCGAGTTTGGGGCTGCATGCCAGCGGTGGACGGGGCAGAGCAACGGATGTAAATTTTATCTATGCAAAGTAGGCCAGTTTGTATACGCACTCACATTCCCCTCTCTAGCTTCCACCTAGACAAGCAAGAGGCATTATCAGAGTTCAAGGACGCATTCTGAGCCAGGCAAACATGCTCAAGGAGCGTGTGAAATAGAATGTGGCCTGGGAAGAGTGTGGCTGAGGAAAGGGTGAAACTTGGGAAGAGCCCAGGCTGAGGTTCCCCGCCCGTTCTTAAAAATGCTATACATATGGAGCTGTCACATGCAGCAAGCAAAAAGACACGTGAAATTCCCCATCCAGTGCACAGAAGTAGCCACTTGCTGGATTGGGGATATATAAAACTCTGCTGCTGCAACAATATATATGTTGCAAATGAATTAGCAGAGCTTATCATATGTTAATAGTTAACTGTTGTCTCTGAAATACTGCATCATAAATTCTGCTGTTGGTTCTGAACCTTTCAGGCTTGATAAATACCTGTATTTGATTTAGATAGTGTCCTTATCAATGATGATCATTTATTTTCCTTGCCAGAGTGTAGCACTGCCCCTGATGCCATGATGATCTTACTGGCTGTGATAGGCAGCATTGTGCTCCTGGGGATTGTCCTCCTGGCAATTTGGAAGCTGCTGGTCACTATTCATGACAGGCGAGAATTTGCCAGATTCCAAAGTGAGCGTTCCCGGGCAAGATATGAAATGGTAAGCATTCACTTCATGGGGGGACGGGGGGACGGACGGACCAGGAAAGAGCTGGAAAAGGGCTCAGTGCATAGGGGTGGGAAGAAATGTGCAAATGTATGCTGAGGACTAGAGAGCAGGAAGGGAAAGTCTTGCTTTACTCTGTTCAGGGAAGGATTCATGGGGGCTGCTTGAGACCAGAATGGTGTGCAGGGAGGCAGAGGTGGCTTGGGTGGAGGGACGCAAACATGTGCAGCAGCTGTGTTGGCGGCAGCTGAAGAGCCACAATGTACTGGCAGCTCAAATTTCCTTTGCCCAGGAGGGCAGGCTGCGGCTTTGCTCTTGGGGCGGTTGGTCACCCCATGAAGAAGACACGAGGCAGACAGATGCAGGGAGCTTGAGAATGTGCTTCTCAGGCTCCATGCGCTTGGCTGCTGCCCGCCTGCTTGGAGAGACAGCGTGGCTTCCTTGAGCTGGTCAGGTGGGGAGAGGCAGCCCCCCCAAGCAAGCGAGGCATCAGGGCTCGCTCAGTTTTTTGGGGGGCTGCCTCTGCCTTCACACTGGAGGGCTCTTCTAGTCAGTCACTCCTGAAGCGACAAACCAGCTAGTCTCTGTCAGCCGCCCCCCCCCCCCAATTGCAGAGGGACTCAGGAGTGACAGTGGTTTCGCCAGCAATATACTGCTAGGTGATGCCTCCATCGCAGTCTGGCTGTCATAGGCCTACACAACACTATTACAGACTTTAGGAGTGCATGGGGAAAGAATAGCAAAATAACATTAAGGGGAGAGGAAAACAAATGAGATTCCATTGATTTTAGCAGAACTTGTATTTAGTTTTCATGTCCAGAGTTTAATCTCCCTGTAAATGCACTGTTTATATCACTTCCTTTTTTTCTTTTTTGTAGGCTTCAAACCCTCTTTACCGAAAACCTATTTCCACCCATAGCTTAGATTTCACATTCAACAAGCTTAACAGGACCTATAATGGTACAGTTGATTGACCCTATGCTTGAAGGTGGAAGAGAGAGTGGAATTCTTGACAATTGCTTGGCTTCCTCACCGCTTCCCAAAAAGGAAGACTGAATCCTCTACAGTGGGACAGTATTCTAAACTTTGACTTGAATGTCAGGAGATGGCTTCTATTGCACATTGAGGACAAATGGGTAGCAGCCCATGTGCTCTGCAGATCTCTAACCCAAGCCCCGCTGATGTGCTCAGAATGTGTTGTCACTGACCTGGAGCTCTTGATGCCTTGGAAGCGCCAACCTATTGAACAATGTGCCATATAGCAGCTTCAGCCATATCTTGGTAGGAAAAAAACATGCAGGTCCATTTCATAGGGGTATTGTGTCACTGCTGGTTTTTAGGGGAGAAAAACTAGCATTGGAGAAGGTGGTGGAAGCATTGTTTTTTTGAAAAAAAAATCCAGGTGTTAAACAGTTTTTAGAATAAATTTTTATATATAAAAAATAAAAGCAATTGCATATATGCTTCCATGATCCAAGTTTTTTTTTTAATGAAAGATGTATTGCACTATATTTAAGGACTTTATATAAACAAGGAAGACTGCTTGTTCAGCCCATCAGTTTTAGGTTAACCTGTACACTTACAAACTGCTCAGTTATCTGAAATTCCACGTTACAGCAGTCACAGTAGCTTTTAAGTAGCTGGAAATGTTTTGACTCCAAGCATGCTTATTTAGGATTAATTCCCACTGAACTTTACTTCCAAGTACACATGCTTAGCATCTGGTTGTTAATCTTTTTAACCTGAATTTATCAGCCCCTATTTGCTCACTATGTGACCCATGGTGAATATAAAATAAACCCAAGTGTGGACACTAATATTTGCATAATTCAACTAACCACAAAACTTAAGATACATAATCTCTGTTTCTGTTCAATGTCACCAGTTTTGCATGCTGGCAAAGGAGACAACTAGAGGTCCTCTAAAGGCTGCTCACTAGTTCTCACTATATGACACGTTAGGTTTATCCTAATCTACTTTAACAATGAACAATAAAGATCTTTAAAGAAGCACAGTGTTAAATGTATTAAGATCAGGTTTCTAAATGCCTAGTTACAGAGAGGCAGTATATAAAGTACTTTTGTTTTATAAAGCTTACTGTTTGTTGGCAGTGACATTGCATTTCCTCTTCGCGAAAAAATCAGCCTTAATGCTGTGTCACCTTGTCCAAGGGGCAAAGTTGCTATGTTCACTGTTCAATAATCTATAATGAAGAGGTGTGGCAGCAGGCAAACAATTGGATGGGCTGAAAAGCAAAATCAAGTGAGTGGTGGGACTACTGCAGCCCAGGAAGAGAGAAATTTCATATTATTCCACGCAGTCGACATGTAGCAAAATGACAACTGCAAAGCACATGGGGTAGCCACTTGCACCTACTGCACCAAGTAATGACCATAGCATCACAGTAGCAGCTCAGGTTTAATATGACATGTATGAAAGATCTTAAGCACACAAAGACCATTATCACAAACCCAAATATGATTTTAATGAAGTGCTGCTTCAAGTTCTTGCAATGACTGGGGAAAGAACAGTGCTCAAAACATTTCGTGACTCTGCAGTTATAAAAAATAAGGGTCTATACACTTCCCTTGTACATACAATATTACTGCAAACATTGTCCAGTTTCAATATAGCAGGCAGCTGCAAGCTGAATTTTGTTAGGACTTTAATGACAGTTTCTTAAACTTCCCAGTTAAACTATCACTCCCAACACCTACATGTGCAGTGTAGATACATCAAGTATGAATTTAAGGCTACAACTTATCTCTAATTGTGTAGCCTAATGCCTGGAAGCATCTCCATTAGTTGAGCCTGTAAAACAAACCTCCAATTTAAAAAAAGAAAGAAACTGATATTCTTGAGGATTAGAGTATATCTATTTCTTATGGTAACTTAAGAGACTGTTGTATCACAGCCTCAGTGCAGAAGGCAACATAAAATAAATAAAGGCTAGCCAAGCTACCACTGATTCTCTCATTCTCACCCTTACAGGCCACAAAATGCATTTGCCAGGAGAAAACAAAGTTATTTTCATTTCCTGCTGGAGCAGTAGGTGCAGACATAGACCAATAGGCTGTTTAAGCTTGCTACAATGAACACAATTACTATCTGCTACCCAGCATCAAACTGTGTTTATTTAACATTTTATACGCCACCTTTCCCTCAAGGCCTCTAAAGGCTTTATAATGGCAACATAACCAATAAGAGAACAGCCCATGGCATGTAAAAATAGAACACTCATCAATCAAAGCCAGGATTGATGGAGGAATGAGAAGAGTTGTACAATTACCTGACATACTAGAACTTATGAACTTTCCATCTTAACCACATTAACTAATTCACTCACACAAATAAAGTTGTCTCTTACATGTCATAGTGGCTGGAGATAGTGGAAAAGCACTGTTTGGCTAACAGCAAAGAAAGGTTGTATATAACAGATTACAGTGATAAAGGGCCACATTACAAAAGGCTGAAATTGTCCTTCACTGTTAAAATAAACTGGCTCCAGCTTCATCTCAAAATGAAAGTGTAAAGCAGCCAAATTAAAGGTGGGGTGGAAACTTGAAGACTACAACAATTAGGTACTGCAAAGCCCCTCATGCCACTTACACATTCTGAATGAAATGGCCGTTGAACACTTCAACAGAGAATGGGACAGAACTACAGAATTTAAATGGCTATCAAGTGTTTGTGTCATTCCTATAATAATCTGTAATGAGCATTTCAATAACAGCCAGATATGGAGAATCACTGTTATTGGGGTAGTTGGCTCAGTGCCTAGTATTGAATGAAGTAACAATCTCTGATGGATTTGGTTCTTCAACAAGTACTGCAAGCCAGTAAATAACTGCAGAATGAATATTTTTGCCATCATTAAGCTACTGCATTTCCCTTCCTTGGCACAGAAGTTTGCCAAGCAACCAGTCTAACAAGAAATATCACCTGATGACCACAACGCCAAAGACTGCATCAGCTTCAATGTATAAAAGTCAAATCTAGCCACTTAAAAAAACACCCTTCTTTTACGAAAAAGATACAATTAAGAAATTCAAGTTGCTTTATAAACTAGCAGAGGTTAGCACATCCAGCGCCCGTCTCTGTGTAATTCATTCACTGCCTCAGCTAGCAATGCCTATGGTATATTATGAGTTTTTTAAAAAACCACACAAACAAATTGTGACCTAGTTCTCATGTTGCTAACATATGGAAGGAAGCCAGGGAATGTAAAATTAGAGATTATAGGAGACATTAACCCTGGACACAGATTTCTTTACAGAGATGTGCCTGAATGAAAAGCATTGTTCCCTTGGCCGCTTCCAAAACCATGCCAATTAAGGCCAAGCACATACAAATAGTAATGTATGCTAACAATAAGTCCGATCTAAATGAAGGAGGTATGTGCAACAAAACAAAGGAGATCCAACTATCATTTTGTCAAAACAGAACTCCCCTTTTTTGTTTTCTGAAGTGAAAACTCAGTTCTTTTCTGTTAAATATCTACTACTTCAATTAAACAGTAATTTATACTTGGGACAGCCTTGGACACTTCCCTCTCAATCATCTCCAACTATTGCTTTTCAGGAGTATCTATTTTCTCTTCTCATTTTCTCACACCAACCCATATGAGTGATGCAGGCACATTTAAAAATGCTCTCTGCCTACCATTGCTCTAGGGAAATGTTAAAAGTATGGCTAGACCCATCAACTGTCTTATATCAACACAGATATTACACTGAATACACAGACAATGGCAGAAAGGGGGTGCAACTCAAATAGATGGTAAGAGTAGTGCTGAGCCTACATGAACCTAAAGATGGTTAGGAGAACAGTACATCTGCATTTGTCTATTTTGTTCCAAAGCAGCACAAATGACAAATATTTCGTACAGCAGACAACTGCTTTCACATTTATATTCCAGCAAAAATGGTTGCCAAGTCCTAAACAATAGGTAAGTTTAATTTTTTAGTTCTCGGCAGTTATTGTGGAAGACCAAACAGTAATAAACAAGTCTATGTAAAGTAGGGTTGCCATATTTCAAACAGTGAAAATCCAGACAGAAAAGTTGTGCTTTTTCTGGCAAGATTGCAAAAAAATTGTATTTTGCAGTTATTTTAAGGAAAAATTGGCCAAATTGGCATTGTCGACATGGGCTGCCATATGTCCAGATTTTCCCAGTTGGGCGATTTCTGCCCAGACACTGCTGACGAATGCGGTATTCCAAATATGTCTGGGAAATTCCGGGTGCATGGCAACCCTAAGTAAAGACACTTTTGAAAAACACAAAGGGTTATAGCACCCTCTGGTGGCTTAAATTTTATACAATGATACACATTTCTTTCTAAGCCAAGACAAATAGGATGCAAATGTTCTAGAAGAGCTTGACATTTACAAAAGCATATGTTGACACCCAACTCTGTCTTGTCTGCAAGTGGAACATACTTCTGCTCACAGTGAACTTGCCCTTCCTCTACTCCAGAGGGTTGGGGACATTTCATGGCAGATTTGGGGGGGCTCAGGGGGAAAAGGATATCCATGCCACTGAGTATCATCCAGAGTATTTAATGTACAAAAAGACCTTCCCATTCGCATACCATTTAAACATAGTCTTTTTGAAGTTGACTTTATTGTTGTGACAACCACTGCATTTTACCAGTGAGGCAATTATTAGAGAAGCAAGGATCCCGAATGTGCTTTGAGGTAGCAGATCATTAATGGAATGCATCATCTCCACGTAGAACACAAGTATATTAATACCTAAGGCACACAATTCCTGCACCTGAGCAAGATTTTGAAATGTATTTCACATCATGATCTAAAGCACCAGATGCTGGATGGAGAAACTGCTCTGTGGAAGAGGGCCTAGCGCCCTATCACACTCAGTCCTTACATTTTAACACAACTGAGAACAGCAACTAAGTACTTTCAACAACTGCAAAAGCAACGTGATCAGGATTTGCTCAGCTTTTTCTTTTCTCACAATCTTTATGGCTCTGTGTTTCGCAAAACCACTGGAGTTTTTTTTTAAAAGCCCTTTAAAGTGTTTTTAAAAATGGGATAGCGGACGACACGCAGCTGTTTGAATTCAGAGTCAAAATTTACAATTTCTGTACTGATTCTCAAATAACTTTATAGCAAAATTTGAACATACAACAACATTCATTAGGCAAAATAACAACAAAGAATTACCTTCTCAATCCTTCCTGCTTCTAGAATTTGGCTTGCTTAACGAAACACAGCAGTTGTGCTATTTTTGTGCACTGACACCAATTCTCTGCAAGTAGCTTTCCCATGCTACTTTCCTATAACTCTCTGCTTCATCTGGGCGACTGGGCGCAGATAAGATACCACGGCCGACAATGATGATATCCGAACCTCTTTTACCAATCACTTCCTGAGGACTGAGGTACTTCTGCCCAAGCTTATCACCTGCAATGGATCACAATCACAAATATGCCGTGTTATGCTTGCTCTCCAGTAGTTTGCTTCATAAAAGAGTTTCAAGAACGCTGGCGAACTCCAAAAAGTGTTCCCCACGCTAACACTGGGTACAGATTTATCCTTATACACTGGTACCTCGGTTTAAGAACAGTCCGGTTTAAGAACGATTTGGTTTACAAACTCTGCAAAAATGGAAACAGTGTCTTGGTTTGAGAACTTTACCTCCATCTTACAACGGAATCTGAACGGTGGAAGGGCACCGGCGGCGGGAGGCCTCATTGGGGAAAGCGCGCCTCGGTTTAAGAATGGTTTTGGTTTAAGAACAGACTTCCGGAACAAATTAAGTTCGTAAACCGAGGTACCATTGTATTATTAAAATGCTATTAAGTGTGCACAGGAAAAAAGCATGCTCTAAAAGGATTTAACCAAGATGAGATAATCAACAACATGAGGTACTGCACATCAGAGCAAATAGGTAAAGGTAAAGGTACCCCTGCCCGTACGGGCCAGTCTTGACAGACTCTAGGGTTGTGCGCCCATCTCACTCTAGAGGCCGGGGGCCAGCGCTGTCCGGAGACACTTCCGGGTCACGTGGCCAGCGTGACATCGTTGCTCTGGCGAGCCAGAGCCGCACACGGAAACGCCGTTTACCTTCCCGCTAGTAAAGCGGTCCCTATTTATCTACTTGCACCCGGGGGTGCTTTTGAACTGCTAGGTTGGCAGGCGCTGGGACCGAACGACGGGAGCGCACCCCGCTGCGGGGATTCGAACCGCCGACCTTTCGATCGGCAAGCCCTAGGCGCTGAGGCTTTTACCCACAGCGCCACCCGCGTCCCTATCAGAGCAAATAATAATAACCAAATAGCACAAAATAACAGCTTTCTCAAAGTGTTATTAACACTGATTAAATATGAAACATAAAGCCTCACTGGCATATCCATGGCAAATAGGCCTTGATATTTGCATATAATTTAAAGCATGGCAAGGTTGCAATACAAAACAGCAGGGACTGGTTTGCAGCCAAGGCTATGTGTGCAGAGATCCACTCATACAGCAGGACTTCCCATTCCTCTCCCAACAGACCCTTAAGATCTGCTCTGGAGGGACCTCCAGCACCCTACAGTGTAGCTCAGGGGGCTACAGGGGAGAGTTCCACTGTGCAAGGGGAAACCTGCTATACTATTATCAGAACCAAGTGACTGACACATGGAAACAAATGTGAGAGATGTGATTTGTCTGCTGTTACAAATTCTGAACTTGCATACAAGCACAGATAAGTAAGAAATTATTTCCAGTAACCTTAATATCCAGTTACAGTTTTCAGTGAATGAAATAAGAAAATACTGGACAGAGCATTATTAACATTTAGGGAGCTTGTATATTGTATTTTATGATACTGCACTTATTTGGCTGCTTCTAGTGTGGAACAGTTAGTATGTTTTACTCCTACATTACAACTCTGTAGATCTGTTCATCATCTTCGCCACTCTCCCCACTGTAGTACATGAATTGGGCAATTCTGAGACTATTTGGATGTGATCTCTCACCCAAGGCTAGGGAATGCAGAACCAGACATACAAATCTAAAGGCAATCTAAATGTTAGGACAGGGAAGGGTATAATCTGAACAGGAACTACTGGGGACTTTGACTGCATTCTCACCCTCACCAGCATACAAACCAGAAATATTTGCGAGCGTACCTCTGAATTATCTCAGTTATTCTGGTATTTTCATAAATATTTTGTACCATCAAAGTGCCACAGAATTTCTTACCTCCAGCCAGCATCTGAACACCAGGAGTCAGATGAAGAAATTCAGGTTTGTCAATAATTCTGGAGCCAGAAATAAATCCCAGAATAAAATCTGAGTGTTCCTCAGCCATTTTAACCTAAAGGAAAACAAATAAACAAGAGCAGTTAGAAAATGCTTTACATTCTTGCTCTAGAATGGAGGAACAAATACTAAACAAGGTGCTATTATGCAAGCACAAAGACTTGCAGCCTTAACAAAATCAAGACAACACAATAAAGAATCAAGAGACTGTACTGATCAGAACATCATACAATCCACTTACCTCCGTCCACAATGGATACCATTATCTCAATAGCAAATGAGCATGCCAATCACAAATACAACCTCCTTGCTTCCTTTGCCTCACCCCATTTCCCTCAATTCCTACCCCCCAAGAACTTTGTTTTTCATTTTTCAGAAGTGTAAACTCCCACTACTTTTCCTCAGACATTAATTTCACTGCAGTATTATGCTGCTACACTTCCATTCTGATCTATTCCAGAAAAAGCACCAGCAAATATTATCTTTGCTGGCTATGTCCAATTGGAGAAACTTAAAGTAGCACATTAAAATCCAAGAAATGCTGCTTTTCCAAAGAGCTTCCCCCCTCCTCCCAGATGATGGTGGGAGATCTAGACCATTCAAGACATTTTGTTGAGATGAACGCTCCAACTTACCACAGCTTTTGTATAGTCACCAGTGGCCAGCGACCCTTCTGAGCTCATCTCACCGATCAAGAGACACCCTCTCTGTAAAGGATGCCCTATTTCTTTCAACCCCTTAACAACTCCAGGTCCAGGAACAGCATGAGCATTAACTATATCTGACCAGGATGCTATTTTGAAAATACCACCTGAAACAGAAAATAGACAATGTATCAGTTAAGCATCTTTTTGGCAATCAGATAACTACTTAAGAGATTAACCAGGGATACCCTTTTCAAAACTTTTATTACCACTGTAGAAATATTGTCCAGAGTCATATTTTCCACACCTATCAAGGTCATAACTACACAGTACTATCACGATATGGAATATCAATATTCTATATTTTTAGCACCCTGTAGGCTAGCCTCAGGCTTGGTTTCCTCAGTATTATTTTTCTCAATATAGCATACAATCTGAAAAAAGTCAGCTCAAAAGCAAGGCCCTTGAAGGCTTGAAAATAAGGAGCTAGTTTCAAGTCAGCGAAGGCCACATCAACATTTCAAATTAAGAGTATTAGGAACATATGCAGCCCTATAGAGATATGCAACATGTTATAGGTTGAAAAGAGGAGCGAGGGGTTGGTAGTTATGCCAAATTCACCTTCATATTGATGCTTCACAGTATTTCCAATGTCTGCAAACTTGCGATCTTCAAATATCAAGAATTCATGCTTATCTGCAAGTGCTCTCAACTCCTTGGCTATTTCTTGGGTGAAATCATCCAGAATATCAATGTGAGTCTTCAAGATACAGATGGAAGGGCCCAAAGTCGCAGCAAGCTGGAGCAATTCTTTGGAGTTAGTCACATCAGCAGAAAGACACAAATTAGACTGCTTTTTCTCCATCAGCCTGAGAAGTTGTGCAGCGAGGGGATGAGTGTCTGGCAGTTCAGCCCGAGCAGCAAAGCTCATTTCTTTGCACATTCTTTTCACGGGAGGAGTACCATTTTGCTCAGGTGGTTTAATAATATTCTCCTGGATGAATTTTTCTACTCTTGCCACCATCTCAGGAGAAACTTTTTCCTGCTGCTCAAGGATCTTGAGAATTTTAGATAAGGTGCATACTGAGTGTAGGCGTATGCCATGCTTCTCCAACAGGGCTCCCCCTCCTTGCTCTCTGTCCAAAAGCACTATAGCATCTGTAACCTTCAACCCCTCTTTCCGAAGGGTCTCTGCTGTCTCCAGAACACTTGAACCAGTGGTAACTACATCTTCAATGATCAGACATGTTTCTCCTGAGTTTATAGTCCCCTCCACAAGACGTTTGGTACCTTTTGAAACAAAAAAGGGCATTTTTCATTAACCTACCAATACAAAAAAAACAACGTTGCCAGCTCAACTGAAAATATTATTGCTACTACCATGGTACCTCGAGTTACAAACGCCTCAGGTTACAAACTCCGCTAACCTGGAAGAGTTACCTCGAGTTGAGAACTTTGCCCCAGGATGAGAATGGAAATCGTGCGCTGGCGGCGCAGCAGCAGCAAGAGGCCCCATTAGCGAAAGCACGCCTCTAGTTAAGAACAGTTTCAGGTTAAGAACAGACCTCCGGAAAGAATTAAGTTCGTAACTAGAGGTACCACTGTACTATTATAAATAGCACGTGCACTACACCAGTTAATAAAAACTTGCGGTTTAAACTTCTGCACTAAGGCTCCTAAATCACAGGCGTGTTATGTACATCAAACTATTACCTTTCTAGATATGCTAAAACAACAAACTGCATATACACTACCGAGGAAGTTGGAAACTTTGTTTATTTATTATAAATATTTTTGCTGTCTTGAATATTCATTGCTTATAATGCCAATATTATGATCTAGGTAAATTTGATTCTTTTTACCATAATCTTTAGCTTCTTTTCGCCGTATAAGCATTGGGATCTGGTTGGTTGAGCAGATGATTGTAGCCAGGGGCAAAGCCGTGTATGGGACCCCACACACAGTGTCATACTTGATTGCAGCATCCTTTGCTGTTTGAAAAAGGAAACCTGCTACCTGAAAGAAATTGTTTTAAATATAAAATAGGTTCTACCATTATAACCAAACATTAATACATTGTCAATAAAATAAGGAGAGTCCACAAAGAATCACCAGAAAGTGAAGCCATAAGCACCAAAGATCATATGGATTTTGTTTCTTCACATGGTGCTTACTTCATCACCTAATTATGCTTGTGTTCTTTGCATATAGGTTGAAGAGCAACAAGCAGTGATGGCTTATTTATTTCCTTGGAAGAATCATGTAGTTGTGTGATCTCTGTTGCACTAGTGGGAATCCTTGTGTTGGGTTCCACTAGCACAACTATTTGGTTGAATATGGCACAAATGATCAGCTATGCTATCGAGTTCTGAGAAGGGTATCCTTTGCAACAATGCTGACAAGACAAATCAATGTTCTTATCTCTTTGTGCCCTTCTTCCATCCATATCCCTCTACCTCACCTCCCACTACAGACAATTACGCATGATGGAAAAACCCACCCCAACATGGTTCCAGGAGTACTACTAGCTGGCAGGATTGTATCATCTTTGACAGCCGCCCTCTTCCCCAGCAACTACCCTCTAACACTCTTGCCATGTTTGTTTGCTTGTTTAAAACAGGCTTTCCAAATCTCCAGGCATGGCTGACCTCCAACTCCCCTCAGTCCCAGTCAACATGGTTAGGGCCGGAGGTGATGACAGCTGTTGTCCATTAGTATCGAGGGCACTAAATTAGAAGAGGCATTAAAGCGTTTTTGTCCTGCTGAAAAGGCTCACAGAGAAGCTGACATAAATTCGATAGCAGCAAGCTGCCCCCCCCTGTAAACCCTTTTCCCCCAAGAGGAGGGGCGGAACAAGGAGAGGAGAGGCAAACCGGCAAACCCCAGTCAGGACCAGCGGTGCTTATAATGACCCCCAGCTGCAATAGAAACATGAGGCGCTGGTCTCTCGGCCTCCCTCCTCCAACTGCCTCGGCCCCGCCTCCCTCCCTCACGCGCGCCCCGTACCCGCCCACCCGCCCGTGGGGCTCACCTTGTTGAGCAGGGCCGGGTGCGACACGATGACGCGCAGGTCGACATAGGCCGGGGAGACGAGGCCGCTCTTGAGCACGAACTCGCCGAAGCGCACCGCCTGCACGCCGTACAGCTCCGAGGCTAACGCTTCCATCCTTCGAGGCTCTCGCGCGCACGTACGGAGAACAGCGCGCGCCGGGTCAGTCGCCGAGTAATGACGCAAGGGAAGGCGGGGCGGGGCAACCCTCCTCCGTCGCTAGGAAACGGGACGATTCCTTACGGGGCGCCACGTGCACATGCGCGCTAGGGGTGACTACTCTCGTTACCCAACCAGACCTACTACTGCATTAGTGGCACCTGGGTTTCTCTTGCATCCTGGCCGGCGCTATTTGCTTGGAAAGAAGAGGGTGCAATTGGTACTGGAGGAGGAGTGAAGGTTGTATATGCTCCGCTCCTAGGAGCGGAGAAGGCAGGGAGGCTTGTTTTGCAGTTGCTTGTGCTACTACTACACGCATATTCTGGTGCACGTGTGTACGGGTGACCGCGTGTGGACATCATCTAGCAGACACTGGTGTGGAGGCACAAAGCGGCGACCCCACCCCCACCCCGGTCTCCAGAATAGAGCTACCCAGGAGAGGAGAGATGGGCGTAGACAGGATTAATGTTGGGGGGGGTAGGACCGACGTGATTGGTCAGTTTGTTATTTCTATTGTTTTACTTGATCTAGGGAGGCAGCTGCCCCCCTTAGCTACGCCCATGCCTTGGAACGTTTGAGGGGGAAAGCGGTGAGTACATTTAATTTATGGGAGTACGAGAAGAGGGCCATGCACTCGCAGTGGGGGCGCCGCCTGTGCGCCCAAAAGCCGAATAAAAACTCCATCGCCAAAGGAAAAATCCCTCGGAGTGCAGCACTAGGATGGATGGAGGGACGACAACGGCACTGGAAGCAACATCTGCGTCGGAAGATTACTGAATAGGGTCCATTTTGAAAGAGAAGCTTTGGGCTTCTCAGGGATGGAGAACTTTTTTTTAAAGAAAGGACTACAGGTGTTCCCGATTGAGATGTGTTTCGAACTTTTGTGCAAATAAGGACCTGGGAGCATGGCCGTAGCCAGGAATTATTGGGGAAGGGGGCAGAACCGAGTTATCTGTGACGCAATTGGTTAGTTCAGTTCAGTTATTTTTATTTATTTATTTTCAGCCGCACCCCCCTGGGAGCCAATAACTGCCTTCAGGGTCGTATAGCACGTTCGGGTTTACTCGCTTCGTAAGAACTCGGGCATTGCTCACATTAAGGACGTCCTCTGTTGTGGACGTTTAATCATTAGGCTTTGCTAAAAGTTCGGGGTCACACACTACCACCTTTAGCAGTGAGTAACCTGATCAACATCGACCAGTGGAAATTAACAGTTTTGGTGTGCGTCATGTAGCAAATTTTGTATTTTTTTAAAAGGTAGTGTTAGCAATGTCAAAATCGAATTTGCCCGAACACAGTAGAGCTAATCAATTCTCATTATTTCAAGGTTCATATTACAGTCTTAAAGCACATATGTCAGAAATCATAAATCCTATTTTTAAGGGAAGAAAAGTAGTATAGATAACGGATTTTCATTAAGCACCCCCCCCACTTTTCAGTTGCATCTAATGCCTTTACATGGCAGGCAGCTCTCACAATTTCTTCTGTGTTCTCTCCCCATATAAGTCAAAATAAAGCTTGTCTTTATAATATCCGTCTTAATTGATTTTATCAGCAGAATTGCTTTTATATTAAAAAATAAAAATCCCATACTTGAATCTTTTGTATATTGTATTTATAAGGAAGGCAATAGCCTAAAATGTAGATTTCATCATCTGTAGATAACATATATATTTATATATACTGCAGAAGAGTAAGAACATGTGACAGCAGGAAATCACTTTACAACATTACACATGAAGAATCAGAAGTATAAATAAAATATTTACAAAATGTTTTAGAAAACACATATGCATACAAAACAAAATCAATAATAAATAATGAGATAACACTTAAGGCAGACCAGCAAAAGACTGAAAATGATTAAGGCTGTGGAATTCGTTTGCACCTTGAATTTTTTAAGCTCTTAATACAATCCCTACCACCACCACAGAAATGATTGTTGCAAATATTTTTAAAAGTGTCTTTTTAGTAGTCTGCTGTGCCCTTTACATGTCTGACCTTATTTTCAGTAGTATACGGTTGAAGTGACATGCTAGCAAAAGCAGACTCGAATGGTTTGACAGAAAGATGCAAAAGCACCAGCACTGAAAAAGGGAGCATAAGGATAAGATATGGCTTAAGTAGAACAGAGTATAAGCTGAGAAATTACAGAATCCTGGCATGTTAACAGTCACTAGTATAACGATTCTAGAAGCAGTTTGATATTGGACAGTAATTGTATAACCAGCTTGGGGAGCCAAAAAAAAAAAAAAAAAAGGAATCTGACATTTATTCTCTTAGGAAAGCACCATTTTCTGATGTGTCAGTCCATAAACAATCAGCTTTGGGGAGAAACCAGAGCCCTGTGGAGGATTTTCTTCTACAAATGGATAGGAAAGATATATTCCATGCAATGGCACACAGATATTCATCTGAGAACTAAGTTGTGTCTAGCAATTCCTAGTTATAATCCAATGGTCCCAAACCGTGGCTAGTCACACTTTGTTGCATACAACTACCGGCTGCAGATGACATATCCATCAAAATCAGCAGAGGATGAAGGGCACACATGAACACACAGATATGCAGCCAGTCTTAAGTTGCTTTGTTACAAAAGATTAAAAGCAAGATTCCAGGAATTGTCACACATAATGCCTAAATGACCTTTGAGCCTCTTGGATGTTATTGATGTTGCTGCAGAAGGTAAGACATCCATGGTATTCTGGTTCAATGTAGATTTTACATTCACATTACAAAGCCCTTTGAAGCAAAAACTGCTTCATGCCTGAGAAAACAACTCTCAAGACTTCATGATAAAACAGCAGTCAGTGCCTGCCTATTTGCTTGTCACAGATTCAGGTATTCCCCCCCCCCCATGGGTGATTATTCCATAGGGATTTTAATGTACCATAGAGGTTTGTTTCAAGGATGCTTAAGTAATCTCTTTTGGATTTCCCTAGAATCACAAATAAAAGAACCAAAAGTAGATACACATTTTGACAGTCACTCTTCCACGTATATGTAGAAGAACAGAACTAGAAAGTAGGTAGGCATTTTTGATGCGGCTACTGCAGCTGGAAAGAACAAGGAGATGTGGCAAAGATCCACATCTGTTTCTTTTATCGTATCTAAAAGTTGTGATGCTTTACTGAGGTTGCCCTTGGTTCCAGTGAAGTGATCCATGACATGGAGTCTGGTTTCACTATGTTACGTATGTTTATTCAGAAGCAGCGTTGGCTCAATTGTTATCATGTAACATGAAGAAGCCGCCTTGCGCAGATGCTGAAAGCCTTTGTGTCGCATGGCCTGTAATGCATCCCTGAACTAGCTCACAGCACTCAGGTGCAGTGGAGGATGCTGCCCCATCAAGAGAGCTAAAGTCTCCTTGGCTTTTGTACATAGAATGGGGAAAGACACCATCTTGTCCCTTTGCCTCTGACATCAACATGTTTTGGGCTGCCCATGCTCAGAAGGAAGTACCCACTGTGTTCAGCACAACTAGCTTTCCATTAAGTATGCATAGGATTGTAGCTAGCCTAGGTCACACTGAAGTTACTAGGACTACTTAGTTGTGACTAATATCTTCCATTGATTACAGTGGGATTCCGCCATGGGTAACTTGGGCTGGATCTTGGCCGTTGTTTATACCTGAGCTGATATGCTCCGCCTCTGGATGATTGTCAGTGCCTTGAGGAAATTGTAGCAACTAAAAGGAACCTCAAGAGTTGATCCTATCCTCACATTCCTTATTATAACAGTGGGTTGGATGATCATAGTATAACAAACCTCTTGATTAAAAAATAGCAGGAAAAAACACTTCATTGAAAAGTTAAAGGACATCAGCTTCTTTCCCTATGGAAAGGCCCTCTGCTTGTGAACCACATTTTCTAGCCAGAAAATCTAAGTCAAGTACCTTTCTCCTTTTCTGTACTGATTTGTTGGCTTGTTTCTTGGTCACCAGACATCACTGTGTTCACCACCTTTCTTATTACTCTCACTGTAGTAAGAACATTTACAGCACCTGATTTGATCTATTTGGGGTTGTGGGCAAGAGAAAGGAGAAAACGGTAAAATACTCCAGGTTAATATAATATGTCATGTACCACTGAGAGGCTACAGAACCCTTGTCACTTGGCTACCAGGTTGCCTAATCCTGACAGCTGCTTAGGACACAAGTGACTAAAAGATGTGCCAGAACCATTAGTACATTGTGTTCAACAAATGGATGCCAACCGAACAGGCAAAATGAGAGAGCTCACCACGCCTTTGATTATTACTAGGTCCATTGCCACATTGCAGAGTTTATAGAAGATTAGTTGATGGGATAGAGGAAAAAGTTAACTATGAATTGCTGATTGATTTCTAAATGATTAGGATATGGTCAGTCACTGTCTTGGCACTAAATTCCTCTTGGTGTAAATAGCTGGACTAGTTCTTACAATATTAATTTGAGATAACAGCAATTTGGAACTATCATTCAAAAGCTTCTTAGTTTGATAATACTTTGATGATTTATAAGGGGCTATTAAGTTAGTGGTGTGTTTAGTGCACAATAATGGACCATTACTTTTAATATTAATAGTCTTTTTTGAATTGTTATTTAACACCAGAGTTTGGGATGGAACAAATATGCTAGCATAGAAGTTAGGATTCTGGAGCTAGGAAGAGAGATGCATGTGTACAGATATGCAGTAAACTACCAGTCTCACACATCAAGACTAATTTTGAAGCAATTATTGTAAGGATGGACCCACTATGTTTACCACACTTTGGCCAACTTTGGATTGATTTCACAACTGATCAACTTTTAAAACTGAAAAAGGAATAAGATTCCTTTTCATTTTACAGACTATATGAGAACTCAACAAACATTCTGCAATAGAAAAAGTCTTTGACATCTAGTTTACAGATAACAGTAATTATTGTAACATAGCCTTTTCTCAACACATAGGTTTCACAAAAAAGTCTGTACAAGAGCTATAAAAAGTTAGTTTAAAAAATGTCTCATTGTGCTTCATCAAAACATTTTTTGTTCCAGTGAATTTACCATCTCAGCTGTAGCACATTGCTACTTTACAGTATGTTAGCTTTGAACATGTGAATGCTGGAGAATCCAAAGGACTTTTGACAAAGGTATACTATGATCCTGACCAATACCGCATACCTAAGTCACTTTACAGGCAAAGCTGACATTATGATAGCACAAGGGCCATAAAAAACAATTCTGCCACAAGGTTAATTCTTATTGAAGACAAGTGGAATTCTCCTAGTGAAACAGAGCTTCATTAGGACTTGAGGAGCAACTATTTCTGCAAAATCTCGAATCCAGTCCAGTGTTGTTGTTTCAGGAAATGCTGACTGTGGAGGGTCAGCCTAGTTTTATTTCTTTACTTTCAGTTGCCTTTCAAATACATGAGTTAAAGTTTAATAAGATCAGCAAGGGTGTCGAGGTCTTTGAGAAGGCTGCCTTTCAAAAGTAAGGCAATGGTGTTTTGGTTACCATTTTCAAATGATGTCGTTTTCTAAAATATTCTTCTGTATTTGACATGACTTCATCATTGCAAGATAAGCCACGCGAGGAGTTGCATATGCAACATCTGAAAGCCTCTAGTTCTAACCAGTTAGATATGCAACTGCTGGAAAAGTACATACACTTTCTTTGACATCACATCAACTAGAATACTTTACACAGACATAAAGAGAGAGATTCCACCTTCTCTCTTTTCACATGCCACGGTGCTTCAGTGTCAACTCAAGGTACTTGTATTGCATTATATTCCTGGGTTCATCCTGCTCATTATGAAACTCTTAACATTGGGAATTGGCCGCACATCAAACTGGTGTTTGCGGCGTTCAATGAAGCTGGATAGGCGTGAGGTATCCAGTGGGATTTTGGAATAGCTGCCGTTGTGAAACTGTAGCCAAGGGTGCTGCAGACAAGTGGCTGCTGTTGGCCTCCTCCTGAAGTCTTCCTGAAGGATGACAGTGATGAAGTCTCTGGCAGCATGGCTTACATCACAGAAGTACTCATTGGGAAAGCTGAAGTCCACTCGGCACACATTGATGCAAGTCTCCTCCCTGCTTTCATCCAGAAAGGGGGACACACCACTCAGCATGACATAGGTGAGCACACCCAGGCTCCAAATATCTGTGCCCAGTGAAACAGGAGCACCTTGGATAACTTCTGGAGCAGCAAATTCAGGGTTTCCAAGGAGATGATGAACATGGTAATGGCCAGTGATTTGAACAGCATCTTCCAGGTCTATTAGCTTAACGCGAGGCACCGGGATCCGCAAGTCAATGAGCAAATTTTCTGGCTGCGGAGAGCAAGGATAAAAAAAAAGGTTCCATTGTTCATTGCTTTTGTATTAGAAATCTGTTCAAGTCAACATTTATCACATTTATAGCCTGCCTGCCCTCCACCACAGAACCCAAGGCAGTGCATATGTGGTTCCTGTGGTCCTTCAGATCATACATTCTTTTGTTTTTCCTGTTAAGGAAAAAAAATGTACCAACAATGTATGTGCTGGCACTTCTTCTTCAGCACACACATATGTCCCAAGTGAAGTACCATAAGTATTTGCTCGGCTAGTTTGGAGGCTTTACATTTTGGTACTTACAGAGCATTTCAATGAATATTTGCTCAGAAGTAAGTTCCACTGTGTTCAATAGGCCTTACTTTCATGTATAGAGGATTGCAGCCTTAATTATAAAATTAGACTGACCACCCAGCAAAGCACCATGCACAATGCACAAACTTGAGTGAAAGGTTTCAATGGATACCAGCTGAAGGATAGAGACATTTTGAAACTTGTCTACATTGGAGTACAGTGATGTTTAAAACAAAAGGCACTACAGGAGGCCAGCCTGTAAGATGTACGGGCCACAAATGCTCACTAGGTAGAGGTGGGTGAATGGCAAGCATCAGGTACAAGCTTACAGAAAATATTTTACATCTTAGATTTATGTAGATATAAGTTCATGTCTGAGGAGTAGTTTGAGAAAAAACCTAGTTAAGCAGAAAAGGCAACAAAACTGCTATAAGCCAACACTGTGTATGTTTTGAGTTGCAGTGCAGACATGTGGACAGTCTGGTTACTCAGGCCATTTCACTAAAAAACAAGAATAAGCCTCTGTTGCACTGCTTATTCCATGTGCATATGTTGCTGAAGTATCCATCTTTCACAACATTCTGAGCCAGTTGAGGAAGGATTTAAGCTTCATATATGCAACATATAAATTAGCTCAATGTTTACATCTCTATCAAGGTATAAGCAAAGTTATGTGGACAAATGAAATGAGATCTAATCACCCCCCCTCCACACCCACACCCCCAATTACACATTTTTCAACAAGGAGCTTTTGTGTGAAAGGAAGGAAAGAACTGGCATGTAGGATCTTTGTGGGAGAACATTGAAGATGTACTGTATGTGAGTTATACGCAGTTCTTTTTTTCTGAGGGTACGCAGGGGTATGCATACCCCTAAACATTTTGTGAAGTTTTGTACTGTATTTATTTTTCCCAATTTGAACTATAAAATGGTGATTTTCTTGAGTCAAAATGAGGGTACCCCTAAAGGTTTTTTTTAAGAAAAAAAGCACTGGTTATATGTCATTTGTTAATGACAAGATATTAAAACAGAAAAAATGACATCATGTAAGTGAATTCTCAGAACTGCTTGGAATTTTTTTTTGAAATTTGGATCAGATGCCTTCATGAGTCACAAATATGGCTATAATGAAGTAGCTAAAAGAAGGACAGATTAGTGACACAAAGTAGTCACTAAGTGTTTTCATTATAGGTAGATTGTCTCTTCACCTGAATTTAGAATAGACTGAAGCTTGGAATTCACCATGACAGTTAGAGATATACACAAGCTTCCTACCTTTATATCCAAATGAGCGACTCGGCAGTTGTGAAGGTACTGTAAGGCTTCCATTGTGTCTCTTATGTAAAAAGCTACTTTCTCCTCCATCAATTCATCATGATTCATTAAGTAGTCCAAGAGACGGCCATCATCCATCCTAAAAGCCAACAATTATGCACTGTGAAAAGAAATCTAGCATAATCACAAACTCTTGCTAATACTTCAAACATGCAACTAGCACCTTATAATGAAAGTGGCATTTTTAAAAAGCAATAAATAAAATACTTATATATTGCAGTGTAATAAGGGCTATCTCATTTTAAATATAGGACTCTTAATTTAAGTGCATGCTATTTCACACTGACTTATTATGCCCACCCCACCCCCCAGCCAATGCACATATATACTAGACTGGGTAATCTGACTTTCACAGTCATCTGAAATATTGCTCTTTTCATGGGGAAATGAAATCATTTTCATTACAATCATGAAATGTGTGATTGCAAAGATGGAGGATTCCCTCAGTATAACAAACAAGAAGTTTAGCTTCCATCAAAAGACTTACAGTTCTAAAATTAATATATAGGAGGAAGGTGACTCATAGGTGTCATGAATAGTGATATACTGAGGATGCTGCAAATGTTGCAACATGGCTGCCTCGTGTGCTGCCTGCTCCTCCTTCTTCATTTTTTTATTGATGAACTTCACTGCAACATCCTTCCTGGTGGCTTTGTGGATACATTTCTTTACAACAGCAAATCGACCCCTGTGGAGAGAAATGATAATAAGCATTATTCATTCATAAATCACGCACCCACTGTGCCTTAACTGATAACTTAAAAGAAACACTTTTAACACCTGGATTGTGTGTTTTAGTGAAATAATTGATTCCAATCTCATTTAGTGAAATAATTCACCTTCCAATCTCATTCAGTTCTGTGTAGGCGAAATCAAAGTTCTCTTTCCAGGTCACGGTGGCTCCATCTGCTGCAGAGTCTGTGAAACCCAAAGGGATGGGGAAATAGAGTTGGTTGCAATGCCAATTATAGTCTTTATTACACATCAGTAATACAAAGGGAGAAGTTTAAAGAAAGAAAATCATGCGAGAGCCTTGACAAGCAAGCAGACAGCATGCCACTGAGTGTGCACCCGGATCCTAAAGATTACGCCTTGAAAACAAAACAAAACAAAACAAAACAAAACAAAACAAACAAAACAAAACAGCTGATCTAAATACAGTGGTGCCCCGCAAGACGAATGCCTCGCAAGACGAAAAACCCGCAAGACGAAAGGGTTTTCCGTTGCGGAGGCGCTTCGCAAGACGAATTTCCCTATGGGCTTGCTTCGCAAGACGAAAACGTCTTGTGAGTCTCGCCATTTCCCCCCCGCTTCCCCCCCCCTTTTTCAAAGCCGCTAAGCCGTTAATAGCCTTTTAACAGCTTAGCCGCTAATGGGGTTGCTTCACAAGACGAAAAAACCGCTAGACAAAAAGAATCGCGGAACAGATTCTTTTCGTCTTGCGAGGCACCACTGTACATGTGTGCTGGTCAGAAAAGACACAATCATATATATGTTGCCCTCAGATATCTATAGTTGACTATAAAATGCCAACAAGAAGCTTGAAAATCACACAAACTTTAGCTTTGGAAGCAGAACTCTGACCGACCAGCTCTAATATTATTCCCTCTGAAAATTAGTATCCTTCCCTTTTTGACCAAGTTCTCACCATATTCTGGAAGTTTCACAAACTCAGAGGCTTCGCTGGGCAAACTGATTCCCCAGGGGTTGCTGGCGCTGACTCGGAACTGATATTGGCATCCAGGTGTGAGATCTTCAATAACGAGGTAGGTGTCCAAGGTGGAGGCAACAGACTGCTGCCAGACCTGTGAGCCTACGGGTTATGCAGAGAGAGATTAAGATAACATTTTTTAAAAGAACATGACTATAGATTTTAGAGAAAGGAGGATGCTGTGCCTTACAGACTCTTCCCCTCCACCCCACCACACTGAGACTAAGCTTTAATCCAGCCCTAATTGATAAAAAAAGAAAAGAAATACAGATTCTTTTAGAAGTCACCTGTGCTAAAAAAGAAAGAAGAAAGAAAGAAAGAAAAGTAGCAACCACTTTGTCTTCTTGTGTTGCCTGATTTAAACATGCAGTAGTGTGATGTCGTAGAATGGTCTATACCATATTAGACTAGAGGTAAGAGACATTATTTTTGAACACCATATTAAAAAAAATCATTCCAAGTGGAAAACTAGTGCAATGGGGAAATCATTAGAACTTTATTTTCTATTGGTATGGAGTTGAATAAATACATAAATAAATAAAAATTGCACAGGGAAGTATTCAGTAATACTCTTCATCCTCTGTGGACTGAAGCAGAATGGTCTGTTCTACCATTTCAGACCCAGCTGTTAAGAGCTTCAAATTACTACCCATTCTCTTCTGGGCAATCTTCTGGCAGCCACATGCCAGTGGAGGGCAGCGCCAGAAGCAAAAGTGGGAAGAACCATTAAATGTAAAATGTACAACAGGCTAGTTTCTACACACATGCAAACATTCCTCTCTGTCCTCCATCCCAGCAAGCAAGAGGCATTATCAGAGTTCAACAATGCATTCTAGCCAGGCAAAAAACACTCGAGAGAGGCAGGAAGAAGGGGCAGTGAGGTGTGCTGCCTAGGAGTCTTGCTTGAGGGCTAGACAGAAAGGCCTGGAGGGCTGCATTTGGTCCATGGGCCTGAGGTTCCTTCCCCCAGCTTATTGCAGCATGCTGGTCATGCATTTTTCACTGGTCTTTGTCAGGTGTATGGACCAGTGTCCAGCTGAAGAACCCTTCATTTCTGGACTGTGAGAGTCAGGATGACTGAAAACAGGCTTGCCAGATCAAGTCCATAGGTTTTGCCTTTCACTTAAATAAGCTGGCCCATATAATACTTGTGCTCCCTTGCTCCACTTGCCCTTGCATCCTCTGAGGCCCATGGTTAAGCTGGAGGCCCACTGCTGACCAGCAGAAGAACCTGCCCTGCTGTTGCTTCTCTTGCCATTGCCACCCACTGGCCTGTTCTCTCCCACTGGCCCAAGCAGGCAGTGCAAAGAAGCCATGGGAGTGAAGGGAAGGAGCAGCAATTGCCACTGCCTGCTCAGTTGCTGGCAGAGAAAGAGAGAGTACGCAAGTGGGTAGTAGCAGGGAGGAGGAAAGAGGTCACTAGGGCTTCTTACCTAAGGGCTCCCAAAGCCTCGAGCCAGTTCTGCTCACCTGTATTCTCCTGCCTGCCACGGGACACGACTTGTCCCACTTGCAGATGGGAGGGAAAGGTAATGGCGAAGCCACTGCTGCTAAGTTGCTCACAACCTCCCAGTTGCACCAGGCAACCCTAGCAGAAAGAGGCAGCATAGGCAACACCCCAAATTAAAAGGCACTGAAGCCTATTAGCTCAGCCTAGCAGCTCCGCACAACAAGCTGGATCATCCTATTACAATCAGTTGCAGACCAAAGGTGTACTATGAGTTTACGCATATACCTTCTTCTCTGTACTCCACTGTGTAACCTGAAATGGTGCAGTTCCCTGTACTGGATGGAGGCAGCCAGCGAAGAATCACTGAGGTGCAGCTTCTTTCCTGAGCAATAGGGCGATTTGGGGCTGCAGGGACACCTGGGGTGTAGGCAGGGGAGCAAAATCAGGAGAGTTGCATTGCAAAGCACACGAAAGAGGGTTTATTAAAACACACAGAGAGAAATTTTCCTAGCGCAATCATGGGTACAGCAGAACTGATGGATATGTATTAGGACACAACTATTAGAGACTGCCAGAGATCTAGAATCTGATCCTGTACTTGTATGCTTTACTCTGCTGGATAAATGGCGGATTGGAGAGGTGGGGAAATAGTTGGGGCAGGAGCGCTAACTCCACTCCTCCCAAAATTTTAGCCCTAATTCCTCAGTCTTTGCTCCCACAAAACCTGCAATTAATCTAATCCAAGTATCACCAGCCAGCACCCATTTGGTGACAATGGGCCATGCTATATACCAAAATTGTGGGCAATTAACTTTGTTGTCTAAGTTCTTCTTGCAAATAATAGTACACATGAGAGCTGATATACATGTTTAAGGTGGTGGTGGGAAGTATGCTGTTCACCCTCTAGGATTATATCACTTTAACTCGTGTGTGTGTGTGTGTGTGTGTGTGTGTGTTAGAGAGAGGGAGAAGGGGAAGAGATAAATTTGTAGTGATGGGGGCATGTGGAGGGGAGAACTGGTTATTTCCCATGTACTTAATATTTCCCATGTAGAAAGTAGTACACCAAGTACATGTAGAATTTCAAATGCAAATGAGGAATCACCCATTACACACACATACACAACCAACCTGGTCTGTAAAAGTCTAGCATGTCAGCTTTCCACAGGCAGGGATGGTTTTGACATGTGTGGATTCCTCACCTGCATTTTGAAGTGGTATACAGGCCCATGTACCATTAAACCAAACATTTCAAAAGCTGATTCCACCATGATTTAAACCAATGGAAGCTCTGGCTGAGCAAACATACAAAAAGCCCCTGCAAACTATGTCTTCCACCATTGCAAACAAAATATAATCCAGCAAGAAATCCATTACCTTGTACTTTTATTGTAGCCGATGTGGATGCTGTTCCAAGCTCATTTGTTGCCACACAAGTATAAATACCGCTGTCTTGAGGCATCACGTTACAGATCTTCAGAGTGATTTCACCTGAATCGCTGGAGAGGTGCAGATGTCAGAGTTTTAATCTGTTACTCTGCTAAGCATTTTACACTGGCTCAGTTTCCAGTGGCAAGCTGCTGCCAATCCATTTCAACTGACACAGAAAACAAGTCTCAGTGGATAGCAGACAAGTAGAGCCCTTCGTATCATGCAGTTTTGTGGATGCAGGTGACTTACAAGGAGAGGAGGAAGAAAGTAGTAATGGATCCAGCTCTCTGTGTTAATGATTAATGATTTAGAGGCCCAAAAGAATGGCACAGTTCAGCACCAGGTAGAAAGTGGTTTTTTTTTTAAAATAATAATAACATCAGTGTGGGCTGTTACTGTGGTCCTCTGCTTCTTCTAATACTATCACTTAAACGTGCACTGCCTGCCTCTCCTGGAGTCAGCATAAACAGTAAAAGGTTGCTGCAGTGCCAGAAAAACCCATTATAAAGGCAATAGGGGTGTCCCACAGAGAACATCAATATTTCCTTTTGACCTGCCGAAAGGTCTACCCAAGAACTATTTCCCTTGCTTCACTTTAAAAAATGCTTGCGGCCACATACTTTAAGATGCATGAAAATGTCACATGGAAACAGTACGGAACAATTCTATGGTTGTACCCTGTGATGTATTTCATGGATAAAAGTGCTGACATCATATGCGTGCCTTTGACTACAGTGCCTGTATCTAAAGTATCCTTGATTTCTTATCATCAGAAGCATTCAGTTGCTCTGATGAATTTCCCTCATTGTTTCCTGAGGATGTGGACAAGGTTCTTTCAGAGGTGTGGCTTACTACATGTGTTCTTTCTCTTTCTCTCTTGTGATCAGCTCCCTTGAAAGTGATGAGAGTGGTGCTGGGGAAACCCAGCTAGATGGGTGGGGTATAAATAATAAAATTATTAATTGTTATTATTATTAGCCTCCTTCCTCTTCTGAAGCCATGCTTTGATCTGGACTGGATCAGGCCAGTGGCCCACCTAGCTCAGCATCCTAGTCTCATAGCAGCCAACTAGATGGCTGTGGGAAACTGGCAACCAGGAGCCTAGCACAATAACACTCTCCCCTTCTGTGGCCCCCAGCAACCATGGAGGCAGAGCTAGTGGCTAGTACCTCGACAGCCTTATCTTCCATTAATTTGTCCAATTCCCCCTTTGAGGGGAATGATAAGAAGAGTCTTGCTTCATCAGATCAAATACCTATTTAGTTTAGCAGCCTGTTCCCACATTCGCCAACCATATGCCTACATTTATTTATTTTTTCAAATTTCAGTGTCCTAAACTGGCTCTCCTAACATAGTTGGGCATATAGGGTCATTAGCTGGATTCAAACACTTTTAATGCACCACATTTTCTAGGAGTGCAACTGCTACATTTGTACCATCCCAACGCCCTCTGCAAAATATGAACGTACCAGGAGGAAACTGCATATGCAGCTGTGCTGTTGTCGTTGTCAAGGATGTTCTGATCTGGTCCTTTCCAGGTTATGGTTGGCTTTGGTCGCCCACAGACTTTGCACTGCAACATTACCGTGTCACCAAGCAAGCAGGTGATGTCCACTAAGGGCACGAGAAACTCTGGAGCAACTGCAGCAAAGGCCACACGTATAGAGACATAATGTTCACTGAAAACAAAAAACTAACCACAGGATGTTGAAAATACAAAATGTGCCTCAGTTATGCCTCTGTTGTACTGAGGGTTATTTATAAAGGGCTGTTATAAAGACCTTGCCCAACACCTCCTGTAAAAACAAGAATCAAGCAATAAAAGCAGCATCTGTTATCAGGTGAAACTAGGGAACCTGAAAATCTCAGCACTCTCACACACAAATTCACACCTGGAAAGTCTCCATGAGGAAACCCCACATCCCATGGTCTCCCATGAAATTCCAGAGCATTGCAAAGAATTCTGAAGGAAGTTCTAGAACAAGGGTTACCAGTATCATGCCTTTCAGAACCAAAACGGGAGTCTCCAGAACACAAAGATGGATGAATAACTGAAATCATGTTGATTGTATTAAAAATACACCAAAATCTATTTAAATTTGAATAAACCAAAGGAAAGCAAGTAAACCACATTCAAATAAATTAAATATGTTCATTTTTTTGTGAACAGATGCAATATGAAACCAAATATTAATCCAAGTAACGTAACATTGAAGTATGATTGAATACTGAATGTCTCTCCCTCTCTCATATTTACCAGACAAAATTTGAATGTGCCATGCAATAGATTCCTTGGGACTGTGAGTGGTACTTGCTTGGCATCATTCTTTCCTGACTAATTACTCAGATAAGATTTCACAGGACTTGTTTGGGCAAAGATGATTAAACCCAATGTTTGGTTTGCTAGATCATGGGAACAACCTGCCACAGTTCTGTCCTTACTCACCTTCCTGGATGAAGTTTGGGTTGATGATCTGGAAAAAGAACACATACATAAAAGAAATAGAAAAGTCTTTTTTAACAGGACAATGAGAAGAGGGCTTATTCTCAGCAAAGTATTAGAGATTTGACATAAAGGTTGCCGAGGAACTAGAAGCACGTCTGAAAGGTTCTGATTCAGGATCCTGGGTGTGCTATTCCAGCACTCATGACTTCCAGAGTCTAGAAGTGCAAGGTGCTGCAGTGCACAGCATGGAAAGGTTTTTTGGGACCAAATGTGAGTCAGCGCCCCTAATCCCCAAGGTCCTATGTCTTTGTCATAATGTGCAACAACCACTATTTCCTAGGCCCATTCTTCAGCAATCAACATGAGTGGGAGGAAACCACAAAGTTCATGTCATAGCTAGTTCTGGACAGTCCTGAGATGCATAAAGATTGCTGCGCTGGGGTCAAAGAACCATACTGTTCAGTATACCGCTCTCAAAAGCAGCCAACTTTTGAACATCTAGATAAGAATCAGGGTATTAAGACAAGGGCCACCCGTTGTTCTATGCCTCCAGTATCTGGTGATCTGAAGAGCCAGTGTGGTTCTTTCGTCTCTCAAGGGTAATTTGTCAAAGGCTGGCAGTGAGTAGAACTCTTTGACCCATACCACATTGCCCTCAGGCCCATCTGTTGGTGGGTCACTGTCCCTGCTTTCTGGTAACAAACTGCACAGTGAGGCCTTCTGCAGCACATCATTCTGATGTAGACACAACTAGGGTTGCCATACATCTGGAATTTCCTGGACATACATGGAATACTGTAGTCGGAAGCAGAGTGTGGCTGGAAATTAGGGGTGGGGGTGGGGAATCATCACTGACAAGCACTGGCACACTAAAACCACAGACGAAGCTCTAAATGTGCACAACATTAAAATTTGAAGCTTTCAGTTACAAAGGGTTTCAAGTGAAATTTGAACCTTAGTTTTGAGGGATGACTTTAGAAAACTGTTGTTAGTCTTGAGAAGTGAAATCTGAGACAGGATTATTAACCTGTCAAATCAAATGTTTTAGCTTTTTGAAAACATTTTAATCTAATAATATCTGCAAATAGTAATGTTGGGACATAATAAAATTAGAATTTGCGTGTTCACACACTGAAGCAAATTTAGTTATTTTTAGCAAATATTCTGAAATTCATTCAGTTCTTACTATAGAGCATTCCTACTATATACATTTAGGCCCAATGTGATGGTCAAACTACACTTTATATTACATTTCTGAAAAACATTACCACTCTTACTTGAAGAAAAAGCAGCCTCTGTAAGCAATACTTTGCTTCAGCAGCAGAGAGCAGCCTTGCGCCAAGATTCGTGGATTACCGATGAACTGCTTTGCAACCACTCAAACACAAATGGATATTTAAAACAAAGAATATCACTATTTTGCATAAGGCTGAGATGGGAGTTTTTTTTGTTTATAGGCAGTACTACACATTATAAGTGCTGAAGGAAAAAGAGCTGGCATTTTGAGTCTTAAAATTCACCAGCAAGAATCATAGTTTACCGAAACCTCGCAAAGTCAAATTTCAAAAGTGAAATTTGACAAATCGTAAAACTCAAAGTTTCAGTTTTAAAATTATGAATTTTAAATGTTTACTACTTTTCCCTAAAATTCACATTTCTTGCAGCTGCACCCTAAATATGCAGAAAGCAGGACTGGCCAAAAAGGGATCCACAATATTTAAGGTTTTAACAACGCACCTTCAGGGCAAGTAGCCATGGCAAATTGCCTAGTCCATTTGGACGTGGCTCAGTTGCACATTAATAAGCCTTTTCAGAATCCATCTCTTCTTTTTTTGCCTTTTGCCAGCCTGAGTTCTGCTCATGGAGAATATAGCAGTTACAGTATTACCTGTCATCTAGCCATTAAAAGTTTGGAGCATTTCTTTGGGTGGGGGGAGGGTGGCTATCCTAACTGGCATACATCTTTCCAATCTGAATTGCAATTCCAAATGGGCTCGTGAAACAAACTGAAATAATTATAAGCTACCTTTGTTGTAACATTATTGTCCTTTGTGAAAAACCAGAAGACATAAATCAAGAATGAGAAACATGTGGCTATCTAAATGTTGCTGGACTTCCAAATTCCCATCATCCCTGATGACTGGCCATGCTGGCTGGGGCTGTTGGGAGTCAAGAGTGCAACAACTTCCCGAAGGGCAGAGATTCTCCACCCAGGCATAAACAATGCAGGCTGAAGGGACCTTGTAATCAAGGCTTTCTGATTGTCGCACAGTACAGTCTGGCTGTACATTTAAAACACACAACATCTCCCAAATAATCTTGGGGTCTGTGGTTTGTTAAGGGTGCTGGGGAGTGTAGCGCTGTGGTGGGTAAACTACACTTCCCAGTAATATTATTTTTTTGGGGGGGGAGCTGTAACTGTTAGAAGTGCTATAAAGGTGCATTTAATACACACATTCCATTTGTCCAGAGATTTCGCAAAATAGAAACAGAAGACAGTTAAGAAAAGAGCTAGGCTGGATTTCCTTTCTTAGATGCATTAACATTTTATTCCCAGGGATGGTTTGTGTTTTAACCTGGGGAAGTATTTGGAAATGATATCCTCCCATCCACACCAGTAAGGGCCTGATACACACTCCCACGTTATCCTACTGCATGTGTAGGCCCAATGTGATGGTCAAACTAAACTTTATGTTACACTTCTGAAAAACATTACCACTCTTACTTGGAGAAAAAGCAGCCTATAGAGACCTCTAAGCTAGTTTCCTGTCAAATGTCCCCCCTTACCTGCTCTTGACAGAACCATTCAGAGCCAAGAGCAGCTGCATTATTTTTTTTACCATGAAATCTAGCTGGTTGGTTGTGTTGAGAAAAGCAGAGGGCACCTATTAAGGACAAGCTTAGAGAAGGGAAGAGGTATATAGTAGCCATTTTGTTCTTAACCTACCCAAAGACTGAAGAGCCTCAATATTCTGCTTTGGAGTCTAATGACTAGCAGACAGACAGAGGCAAGTGTGTGCACTCCCCTGCCTTTGCTATATATACACCTTTCAAGAGAAGGAAGTGAGGAAGAACAAACAAAGATGGATGGATGAAGACTTTTACTAATCAGTCAAAGCAGGGAGACTGTGGAACTGTGAGTGGTCCAAGCCAGCTGCTTGGAAGATGGCTGGACACTAAGTATTAGGCAGGGTTACTGGACACAACATGGTCAACCAGATGAATGGAGTGTTACAGAACAAACTGAAGCACTGGGATACTGCAAGTCTATTTCAGGAGCTGGGTGGCAACGTGTCCTACTTTACAGAGGACAGTCCTCTATTTGAAGTCCAGTTTAAAGATAAAGAGCCCCAAGTGGGGACATCAGGGGCCATGAAGTTGTCCATCAACAGTGAGTATCTGGACCGGAAATTGAGAAGGCATATAGATCACCTGGCCAAAGTCTTCCACACTATGTTGAGATGCATCATATTTCTATTTAAATCACAGTAATTGTCTCTATTTTTATTATTAAATTTCTATACTGCCCTATATTTGCATAGATACATATAAATTAGCACATACATAAATTAGCACATACATCTGTGTCTTCTTCTGTCAATGTTTAAGTAGCCAACTTGTTTGTGAGTTCAAAACAGCACTGTAACATTTTGCAAGTTGGCAGAGTACTGTTGCTAGGGCAAGGCAGATGGCAGAAGGCCGCCTTCGCAGAGGGACAAATGTTTCATAACTGTCACGAGGAGAGAGGGATATGCTCCTTTTTCATGACAATAACATAATATATGGGGGAGCACATGAAATGAGCCTGTGTAAGGCCCAGTGTTGCTGTCCTTTTAGAATACGAGACCTTTCCCCTGGCTCCTTCCATACAAAAATATTGATGTATCTCATTTTCTTCTGGGCTTCCTCTTCCTTTGTCCCTAGGTTTTGCGTTCATGTAAACAAAGCAGTGAGGCCAACAATGGATATTCTATTAAAAGTCTTTTAAAATAAACTATAATTACAAAGGCACAGCAAGTACAGTGGTATCAACATAGCACTGTTTAGTCAAAAGCAAATAAAAGAAGGAAGTTGGGAGGTAGGAATTCACTGCCTTGTTGTATTAGTTGATCTCTAAGGTGCTACTGGACAATTTTTTATTTGTTGTATCAAGTTTGCCTTACAGCTGAAGTCTGCAAGGCAAGTTTCACTGCAACCAGGGATGGGGCACCAATGGTTCTTCAACTCTTGTCAGACTACAACTTCCATCATCCCTGACCATTAGCCATGCTGGCTGGAGCTGATGGGAGTTGGGGGTCTAACAGTGGGAGGACCACAGGTTCCCCACCTTGTACTAAATGGAATCTGAAACTGCCCAGATCTTACTGGTAAATGCACTTCAGTAGTACCAATGGACAGCAGCTGACCATGGACAGTTGCTAATATCCGTCAAAACATGGCCATTTATCATCGGTAATGATTAAGGGCATATTCAAGTGATCACCAATGGTAGGTGTGGTTTTTTTGTACACTCTTCTCCAGAGAATGGAAAACCAGCATTGTAGGCAGTTCAAAACACACTGGTGCATACAAGATACACATTTACAGTATTGTAAGGATTAGCCCAAGCCAATCTGACACCTCATGTGCAGAATATAAAGGGCAGTTAAAAGGTTTTTAACAAATTAGATCAGTGATAGTTTGTTGCCCTTTAATGCCGCCCTAGATCTGCTATCTGAGATGGCATTCTGCCTATCAGTCAGCCCCAAGTGCATTCCACTACACATGCAGAATTTCTCAGGGGGGTGGGATAGAAAAAGGTGCAAGGTGGGGGGAAAGGGAAGGTGCAAAAGGGTTATTGTCTACCTCCATGCTAGTGTTGGGATCAAGGTCATCACATTCTGACTCCTCTGAACTGTTTGTCTCCTTTTTGGCAGCATGGAGGAAAGAGAACAAAGTTACAATGGGGAGAGAGATTAAGAGGCACAAGATCAGCAGAAGCAGGTGAGCGCAAGGTGCACTGTGCAACTAACATGCTTTCCAAACAAAGAGGCACTAAGTGGCAAGCAGGAAAAGAAGAAAAAAGGTGTAATAATCTTGAAATCATTAAAGGGGGGGGGGAAATCAAAGGTTTTAATGGAAGCAGCAGTATGAGGAGCTACCTCTGCTATACCAGCCCACTCCCACCCCCCATTTTGCAAGGCCCTTAAAACATCCTCAACAATACTATACATGGAGAGCATTCACCAAACTCTTAACATTCTGTTCTAGTGCTGAAATCTATATCCTCCCAATGAACTCAGTTTGAAATAAAACGTCAGGTGGAGCCAGAAGAGTTCAATCTCCTTGGATTTGTTGTGTTTTTCAAAAATATTTTCAGGTGTTTGACCATTCAGCCTATCAAGTGTCAATCCTTTAAAAATGTGCATGATCCATATACTTCAGTCAGCTTAAACATAAATGCAATCTGAGGTGTGCAAGTACATAATTTTAAATTTAAGCACCCACCTTAAAAATCCAAACGGCATTTTCTTTGTTTCTGTTTTTGTGTGCTCCTTGGCCCAAATCCAAAGAAACATTAGAGCACAGCATAAGGTATCCCATTTACGGCTGCACTCAAAGATACCCCCTCCCACACCATCCTTACAATACTGATTGCCTATTGAGTTGAGGTGTGTGTGGCCAGACTCAGTCCAGGCATCCTATCCCAACTGCTTATTGGTCTTATCACTGCTGATAGATCAAATTACTCGTTTGACGGTATGCACACAACATAACAGGCACTGCAGGCACCCTTCTGAGTGGTGGATGTGGGAGATCACCCTGCTGCCACAGCAAACTTTTCCATTCTTTTGTGGGATAATCCGCAAGCAGATAAAAGTGGATCACCCTGCCTGCCCTGTAGTGATTGTGGAAGGGAAGGATGCAATAATGCAATTCGTGATCAAAAGAGTAGTATCAAACCTTAGCTAGAACAAGGTGGTAGATGTGTTTAATTTTTACCATGTCAAACAGGCACCAAGAGAAAAATATTACTTTAAAAGAAGAAAGAAAGAAAACTGACTGATCAGTAGAGCAGATCATGGGCAGTCAAGCAGATGGTACCCTCAGAATGTGGTTGAGTGCCATTAGCCCCAGCCAATGGTCAAGGAGCTGCAGTTCAGCAATATCAGAAGGACACTCCATTGGTTACCCCTGAGTTAAGGGCTTTTATATCAAACAGAAATGAAAAAAGAAAATTGTCCTGGGAGCCACAAGAGTGTTTAAGTTGTATTTAGTTGTACATAATTATTGTGACTATTATTGTCCTGCATTCACACACAAATAAGTGCTGCACTTAAACCAGACTTCTCTCCAATGTCATTTAAACTGCAAAGCAGTTTTGATGGATCTTTCTCATTCTTGCCCAAAGAGCTTTGGGTTGAGAGCCACAAACCAGTTTTGCCAAGATTTAGACAAATAATGATTCCATGAAAATCCCACAAACTGCTAAAGCTACATATTAATATTTGTCATTATATTTCTTTACTCAGAAGTATTACAAGTAATCTGAGATGTTAAAAAGCCATATATTGCTGTTTAATCACAAATATTTATAACAAAGCTCAAAATCATATGTTATATGTGTCAAAAAAAGACTAAATGAAGGAAATACTAAATGAAAACTTGAATCTCTGTGTTGGCTTCAATCTACACAACAGATAGTGTGCACCTATAGAACTATTAACTATCCAGACAAGTTTGAGAAATATGCTACCATAAGAGCTTGTAGCTAGAGCTCTCTTTATACTACAGTATTTTGATGCTAGTATGTTTAAGATAGACACAAGAGAATGCAAAGAAAAAAAGTGTTCTGCATAATATATATTTTGAGAAGTAACATTTTAAAGTTAGAATTTTAAAGAAATAGATCTACCACTAAACACATAGGGTGGAAGTCAGTATAATGCTAAATTATTGTTCTATCTGGCTGTTTTGGGAGTTTCCAAGCCTCCTGAGCAGATTGGGAATGGTGGGCCATAGGGATAACTGTTTATGTCACTTGCAAAGATGTATTTTGAAATATTAAATTCTCTTTGAATTTCTAAAATATTGTTCTAGATATTATATTAGAAATGTGACCCAATATCACAAATTATATGTAATACAGAATATTAGTGAAGAATTTTAAGAATGCAATTGTTTCCAATTAATAAGGGTTTCTCCACACCTGCACCCCTGTGGAATATTTTCAGAAATGTAGTTAAACAGTCTGGTCAAGATGATTCCTGCTTTGGAAACATCTTGGCTTGATTACTGATTTGCATTTCATGTGCCCTTGAAGACAACTTGGAAGCTTCAATTGGTATAGATGCAGAATATAGCTGCCAGAGTTCTGGGTAGTATGGCCAGATGGCTATATGTGTGTGTGTGGCGATCTATTCACCACATTAAATAAGCTGGTATTTACTTTTAAAGCCCTACACAGCTTAAGAGCCCCAAACCTGAAGGAGCACCCATTCTCACTGCAACCTGTGTGTGATTAAGGACCTTTTTTGGTACTGACATGCCCTCTATGGAGTACTCTTGTTATAGAGACTTAGCCTGGCGCCTACATTGATGGCACCAGGCTGAAATATTATTGCTCAGCCTGACATTTAATCTTGTGCATGTTTTAAGAATGTAGCCTCTCTCTACTCTGGTTTTATTGTTGCATTTTATGTCTATCTTGATGGTGCAATGCCCTGAAATTTTTATGAGTGAAGAATGGTATGAAAAGTTTTAAATAAATATTGCAGCTATACAGAAGAATTTTAGCAGGTGCAGCTGGTCATGGCAGAAGTGGGGAAAAGCTGCACCTGTTAGAACTGCAGCTCCTACGAATCTGCTAAAGTTATATGAGCCCTATCTTCCTTTACTTCAACTAGGGTAAGCAGATGAAAGCATCAAGCAGGCTCACTGAAGTTAGCACTGCTGAATAGACACTGACAAACACAAGCATATTAACACAAAAATGCAAGCGTTGTTAGAATGCATGCAGATTTTACATTGCCACCACCACAGTTAATTCAATTTAAACCCCAATTCAACAAAAAACACTTCTGTATGGTCATTGGCATTCCAAAAACAGCATTAATTTGAATGGAAACCAAATTATTTGCATGAAGATTTTCTATGGCATGAGTCACAGAATGTAGACTTGGTCCATTTGATAAAGTTCTAAAGGGAGCAAGAAGGACCTGGGGTGGATTAGGCACTCTTCCATATTATCCAAACACTGTATGTGACAAATCACACAACCAGAATGAAAACTAAGAAAAACCTTACAAATAAAAATGACAGTGTATTAGTAGCCCCCCAAAATGCTGGCTGAATGGCATCAGCAGGGATCTGGAACAGCATAAGAACATGAAAAAAGTGGCTGACTCCTCACCATATTTGGAAAAAACCCACAAACAACTTTCTGATTGCCTAAGCCCCACTGAATTCAATAGTTCATTAGAGACCAAGTGCTTTGATGGACTGAGGCTTAAGAGCCTGATCAAAATAGTTGTTGGAAGTTAGTGATAGAAGAGCCCACAGTATTAGGAGGGCGATCCACAACAACTGATCACATCACAGCTAGTGCCTAGGGGGCCAAGATTGGAAAAAGGTTGGGAGACACTGGTCTAGGGATCTGCAAAGGGTGAACTGACAGTGCTCACTGTGCAACAACTCAGGCCATCGCTAAGGCTAGCAGTGTGAGTAGTTATACCCTGTTTGTAATTCTGCTGGAAGTCACAGATCAGACTGCCTTATCACAGATCAAGGTGGTTTGGGGTGAGCCTTTTTGTCACATGCTGTTATGTTCGTTAAGGGTTGCAAGCTTATCATAGTTGCCTTGAGCATTCCATCCCCAAGAGTTTCATGAACCTACATTGCAGATCTCACAATGAATTTGCTACATGAACATTTTGCAGTCTTTGTCCATGAGAAGGTTGCTTGGCATAAAGCTGTTATGTCAACCCCATGAAACAATGGTGTATTGGTTTGCGAGAAGGTAAAGCTGGCATTTCACAATTAATTCCATGCCCCACTTCTTCATGGAAATGTTCAAAAAAATGTGTCACTGCAAGCAGAATGTACATACATCTCTGTTGGGCCACTTACAAAACTCCTGCTTCACTTCCACAAACATTCCTGGCACTTTTATACTAAAAAATTGCACTGAGATTTCTTCAGTTCATGTTTATGGAGGGCAGGAATTTTGTGCCAACTGCAAGACTTGCGTGTCTTCCACTGTCTCCAGTATGCCTATTATGAGGAAAAGCATTGAAACTGGGTTTCAGGGAGTGGAATTCAATCCCATGGTGGACAAAAAATTCCTTGGATACTCCTTGCCAAATCAGTCTGTCTCTTTTTCAGCTAGAAAATGACAACCAGTGATGTGATTCTCAGGATGACTTTGAGGACTAGTGGGCATAAGTGGGATTTATGACTGTTATGTAAACTTCTTAGAATTTTTCTTTTTTGCTTAAGCAGTCTAGAAATATTGTTAAATAAAACAAATAAAAAGAGACAATACACAGAGTGGTGTGTCCCCCACCCTCCTAGGCATCACAGTTCCCAACTAAATGACTCATTATTACAACTGGATTTTCCTAATCCCTTTTTTTGGGGGGGTGGTGGTTAATGATTAGCCAGAAGAGCTGGAAGTTATTTGGGTTGTTCCTATATAGCAGGCACAATTCCAGGAGAAGATGTCAGAAGCCACATGAAAGAACCAGAGCAATAAGTAAACATTGCCCTTACATAACTGGGTGGGGGGAAAGGTGAAGTTTTTCTTCCTCATCCCTAATTTCTAGGAATTTGTTGAAACATCATGGAAGTCTTCAATATGAACAGTCTTAGTCATGATACATCTATAACATACAAATCAATCTCTGTAGTATTGGAAATACTGCAGCAGCTAAACTAGTTTAAAAACAGCAGTGTTAGGCAGTGTTTAAGCAGCCCTAGAAGGATGAAACGGCCTCACCAAAACTTCTAGCAGGTCATTTTGACAGAGGTTGCCTGTTCTGCACTGTCATTGCTTACCAACCCCTGAAGGCATTTTGCTGCTCATGGATCATTTGTTGCAGATTGTTCCTCATCTATTAATAGCCAAGTCTTGCCTTGTTTGGGCCGGCATGATTTCTGGTCCCTCCAAGGGAAAATTTTGCTTGACTCTGCTTGGTCTTTTTAACTGCACATCTTTAACTGCACGTACACTTTTGATGGTTGCATTAAACTTCTGAAGTTAAATACTACACACAAACAAACACACACACACAGAAACTATTTACTTACATTTTGGATGCCAGTGGTGAGGAGGGAAAAAAGCTGTGTTGTATCTTGCATGCAAAATCCGGCCAAAATGTCTACTACTACCGAAAAGTAAAACAAATCAAAAATAAAAAGCAAAAAGGGAAAAACAAAACAAAGTAAAAAGCCAGATGTCACCCCCTGTCCATATAGAGGATGTTGCAGGGGGAGTGAGGATGAGAAGCAGGAGGCAGCGCACAGCTTCTGATGGCCTTACTCACTTTAACAGAGACTTTGTTGCCCAGAATATCCTTGGGTTTACGTAGGCCATTGGCTTCAGTTTTGCCACTGCTTTCCTTTTCTGCCCGCTTTCTCATGCGCAGGGTATGCCATGAACATGACTTCCTGTTGTACCAAAAAATGCACCAATCAAATGGCGTATCTTAGTAGGAAGAGGAAGGGATGTGGAAAAGCAATCAGCACACATGTTCTTGATACCTGCAGCCCCCCTTAAGAAGGGAGAAGCCACTTGCAATATGCCTAGTTGGCTGCAAACATTCAAGTCAGGATTTCAAACTAGTCTAGAACAAATGTTTTGTTTATTCTTGCTAATTGAAAAAAGATATTTTCTGTAAGTTGGCTGCAGGTCCGCAGATAACAGCATACTTCTTATTCATAACCTGCAAGGGTTGGCAAAGTAAATTCTTCCAGTTAAAGTGAAAATATTGCAAAATTAGAGAGAAATCAAGTCTTTGTTCATATCTTATATACAAAAGCATTTGTATATTCCATGGTTCGGTGCCAGCTCCCAAACATCAGAAGTTAGATAATAACCACTTTATTAGATAGAGAAAATAAACATCATAGTACAGCTGAGTTGATAAAACACAGGCATGTTGAAAGAACAGGAACTTCTTTGCTTAAGTGTAGCAATGCTTGTCTTTCTGCTCAGAAAATGAAGTTTATATATTCCCATTTTGTGTCCCAATACACATCCTACCTTTGCCACAAAATGTTTTCTTTAGGATGGGGAAGCAGAAATAGGAAAATGTATGTATCAAAGCAAATAAGAATACTGACAACTATTTAGTCATTAACTGGATCGCCCCTGCATGTCACTTTATAACAGAAAATCCCCCCTCCGTAGATTTGTAATACATTTTCATGTATACAGCTGAGTGAGAACTCACTTTTCAAAAACAGAAGCAAAACAGCTAGAACCATGGCTCGGTTGTCTGCTGTATATGTCTTGGGCTTGCATGTATGTATGTATGTATGTATGTATGTATGTATGCTGCAAGTCTAGACTCTGATCCCAGCTATGAAGACATAACAACATACCTTACAAGAAAGGGCAGGTCTGCACTTCATAACTGCCACAGGAAAACACTGCTGTAACACCAGTGTTTCCTGCAGAAAATATGTGAAGGGTGGGCATCCACACATACATCCTTTAAACATTCATGTACATATATCTGGGATTCCCAATTGAGCAAGAGGTTCTGGATGTGTGTACACACGTATGACATTCGTCTTTTTTTACTGTGGTGAAAAATGGTGTGTAGAGCTACTCAAAAAGTTGCATGCAAACTGGGAGATGAATAAACATTTTATGAATTTTCTCACGAAACAACACTTTGTTCCAGTACTGAAATGCTTTTGTGCTTATAGTATTGTTCACCAGATTACTTGGCTGCAGTGTAATATTAAAAAGCAAAAAAACCCCAAGGCTTAGAGCAAATAAGCCACACCATCACAAGACTAAACTGATTTATATCAAATTGTGGTCAACCGTAGTTTATGAACTGTGTATATGCTAGTGTTACAAGAGAAGTCTGATAGGCAACATTGTTTGGGCACATGCAATGGATATCGATATCATCAAACCATGTGATACTGCGCTGTACCAGTCCTGTTCATAACCTCCACATGCATGCTCACTGAACAAGTGGGGGAAATATAGCTTCATATTCAAGTATAATTAGCAGAAGGTGTGAAAGGGGCTCCTAATGTCCTGTGGTTTCACTCCTTCACCCAAACATTCAGTGAATGTGTGTACTGCAGGCATGAACAGGGCTTTGGTTTGCAGAGCTCAGGGGGCATATTTCTCCAAGATTATACTTGAGCATAATATCCATAGAAGCATGATAAGTAAATGGGAAAGAATGTGAACATTATTAAGGAACATAAAACTAGTGAAGTAAGATTGATATAGATTTGCTTTTTTTTCTGAATAAAAGGCCAAACATTTAATGTTGGAGAGGAGGGGAAGAAAAATTCCCATTTCCCCCTATACATTCAAGTTAGCTTGAAGTAATTTTGAGAACATAAAAGGCTTTGAAACAAAGTGTACAGAATTCTCAGCATTTGCAGTGATATTCTATAGTAGCGTGAAACCCATGAGAGAGATACACAGGCCTTCTCTCTCTGTACTGTTATGTATTTATGCATATATTGTCCATGTTTTTCCCACCCAGCAAGTCATTGTGCTTTATTTCCATTGGTGCAATGTTTGCTGTATCATTGGTCTTCCTGTAGCATAGCAGTTTTGTGCATGAAAAGTCATGGTCAAAAACCTAAGTCCCAACCCACATGACAATTCCCCTTGCCATGAAAATAACTGCTCCCACATTTCACTGAATTTTGTGAATATGCCCCCTGGGCTGTTCCTAATATGGGAGGTTACCCTGAGCAAGGCCAATCACACAAACGCCTGGCAAAACCAGCATGTGAGTTCCATTAAGAAACTTCTGTCACTCCCCATTTCCTCAGGCCTCGATATCACCTTTTGATCTTCACTGGATGAATGCTGGTCAGGACAAAGCTCAGTTGATAGAGCACGAGACTCTTAATCTCAGGGTTGGGGTTCAATCCCCACATTGGGCAAAAGATTCCTGCTCTGCAGGGGATTGGACTAAATGACCCTACTAGTCTCTCCAACTCTACAATTCTATGATAACTTTGTAAAGACTATAAATTATTAGGCCCAGTGCAGACCTAACCATATTAAGCATTGACAAGAAAGCAGGAGGTGTGTTGTGAGCTCACATTCTTTCTCCCCTCTTTGGTGTAAATTCACCTCTTCTCTTGTTGGTTTTTGCCATAGTTGAGCACTACATTCAGGATGCACCAATGCTAACCATGGTTAATGCGAAGTAGCTTAGCAAATATTTGCAGTCTTGCTTCAAATCCTGGTTAGAAATCAGACTCATGGCTAAACATGGTTAGCATTGGTGCAGATGCAACAATAAATCATGGCTAAGGCTAATAAGAAAAAATTCTTTGTGTGGAAATCTTCGTGTAGGCTATTCCCTCTCTCTTAAGATATAAAGACTGGCAACACTGTGCCTGCACTGGGCCTTATTCATTTGCTGCAGCATACGTTAAATCTAATGAGTCAACACACCTAATCTTCAGTACTTAAAAGTCCATTGAAGAGCTCCCTTCAACAACTGTACTCCAAGGAATCTGTGCAAGATAACCAATGCTGAATCAATTTTTGACAACTGAAGATTTAAAAAAAAAATCAACTGGTTTTACAAAAAGGATTGTACCTTCAGTATTTAATATCAAAAACATTTTCTTGCATTATTTAGTCATTTCAAACTGACAAATTTCAAAAAAAGGTGAAATAGTATTCACACATTTGTTAAATAAGCAACAAAACATTGTAAGAAAAATAAGAACTTAAAGAGGGTCAAAAACTGGTCCTTTTTAACCTCATCAAAACATGCTCATGGTGAAAATTTATTTTACATATTTAAAATAGTACATTTAAAATTATTAGTTACATTACAGGTACAATGATGAACATTGCGACTATCCATAATATTGCACAACCTGACTTCAAATATGGGTTTCTTTAAATAGTGCAAAATACTTTTTACAGGAATGTACTCCAAAGGGGATTTCTCAAACCAAATTATTTTTACAAAATATTATGTGAACAGAAAAAAGAAACTTTCAAAATAAAAAAGTTACAATCTGTACAAGAAATTGCCATTGACAACATCGAATCTCTATTCCTTGAGAAGTGGGTCTCAATCCAATACAAGGCCTGATGTATGTGGGTGGTGTTTTTCTTTGCTCTATATCATTATAACCTATATATATATATTTATATTTATATTTATATATATTATAAGCAATTTAAAACACAAGATAAATACAAGTCCAGTCAAATCAGGTCCATATTTAGGAAAGGATGGGGGGGGGAACCATGCCCTTTAAACTGTCTATAGATTTCAATTCTTTACAAACTATGGGGGCAGAGCGGGGAGAGAACAAAATTCCAACAAAAGCCCAACTATGCCAACATGGATACCCCATGTTGTGTTACCAAGCAAAGTTTGTTCCAATGGCACTGTAGATTTTTTAAAAAGGCAGGAAAATCCTAAGATTTGGGTTTTATTTTTCCTCAAAAATCCACATACTGCTCCCAGGGAATCCAACACAGCACTTACTTTATGCCTCCATCGCTATTATCTGTAGTTGATTTAGTGAGGGGAGCCAATATATTCCCTGGGATCCATCCTTCTGCTGCTGGTGAATGGTCATTGGCAGGCTGGTACACAAGGAACATGTTCTGCTGGTTAATGGCAAGTACTTGGACCACCTCACCCTGGTTGACACAGATTTCATTCTCCTTCAGTGCATAGTAATCTTTGATGACCACCATAGAAGAGGTCCCATTGCACCCACCCAAGTCATTCTGAAGAAGAGACACAGAAAGCAACAGTGACAAGATAGCTCGGGTGCAATGCTAAGTTTTTTTTATCAGCATCTCCTGGGCAACACATTTAAGTGTACTAAGAGTTTACAAGACATCTCAGTGTGCACAGCAGCATGTTGCCTAGGCAACTGCACTGTGTTTCCTTCCATGTGATGCTGTGTGATTGACAGACTACAGATCAGTTGGCGTAAATTCACAAATGCATACTCATTGTCACTATAAGCAGTAGCTCTTTTTAATAGCCTGCTTGTGAACAAAACCTACGCATAAGCTTGGGACACAACAGTTGTCAACTAATTTCATAGGACATTTTTGAAAATCGATTATTTTCTTAATTTGGGAGATGGGAGGGCAAAGAAAGAAGATCAGTTAAATAAATGCATCAAGTTACATCGGTTTTGGAAGGCAAAGTGAAACCCTGGTCACATAATGGAAGTAGTGCAGCTGATATAATTAAGATAAGGAAAAATAAGAAGCAAGAAGAACTTTGTGTGCAAAAGCTCCCTGGTTCAACTCATGTCCAGGTAGGGCTGGGAGAGAGTTAGGACTGAAACCCTGCTAGTCAGTGTAGACAATACTGAGCCAGGCAGACTAACAGTCTGACTTGGTATACCACAGATTCCTATGTTTCACTTATCCCAGTTGTTGCTGAGAAGTCTGCAAGAAGGAATGAAGGCAATTGCACTCTCTTGCTGTTATTGACTCCCTCTGAACATGGACTTCCCATTCAGCCATCAGTGGGGACCACTCCCCATGAATTTGTCTTAAGATTGTTGTTGTTCTTTAAAGCAACTACAACTAATAGCCACCAGCACATGAGGCAGTGATTTCAAGGCTAGAGATGCACTTGTGTTTCCCTCTGTCGAATTTGCTTTCAGCTTTTTTAAAAAAATCGCACCATGCAGATTCTTGAGCCCTTTCCTAACACCCAGAACAGGCTTAAGACTGGATGTTGCTGTCTGAAAGCTGAAGACCATTTCCTTCTTGGATCAGCAGTTACCATCTATATATTGACTCACGGGTTCAAGTACTCACATCCACTAACCAGGATCAGTAACAGGCCAAATCGGAAATGATGGCAATTGCAGTAAAAAAAACAACAACACAAAGTGAAAATACATACATACCTTGATTAGTTCATATTTGTCCCCAGGCTGGTGCTGCTCGTGCCCTGTGCTGCCATTGGAGGTAGATATTTTCAGAGGTGGAAGAGATGGGTTACGCATTGTAGCCTTCAAAGGTTTATCCGACCCTACTGGACCTGAGGAATAGGGTCTGGTGATGGGCTGAGGTACCCTGCTGGTCTGGGGTCTCATTACAGCAGAACTGCTGTTTTCTTTGCGCTGGTACTCTATAGGAGACTGTAGTGCTGGAGTAGAACACTAGGAGTTAGTACAGACCTGCCCATTTGCGACACCATGTTTGCCTAATGCAAGGGACGCCATGTTTAGCTTGTTTCAAACAAGTAGCCTGGGAAAATACAAACCATTCACCTACATAGCTTGGAAGCACTGAAAGTTTCTCTTCAGGAAGAGTGAGGGAAGCACTTTCACAAGTGCTGACTTAACAAGACTGTAAAATCCCAAAGGTGCAGATCAGGCCTGCTTGGAGCTCATAGTAATACTCCCTACTTCTAGCCTCTCGATAACAGCAACAGTGAGCAGTGTCTGCTCAGTGATGCCCCTCCTGCTTCCATAATTTGTTGCTCTGGTGGTTGATACTAAATAGCAGCTAGACCTAAAAGTTTACTAATCTTTATTTTATTTAAGATGAAATTGGTAGAGAAGAGAGGCAAAGACAGCTTCTGCAAAATTCTGGCTTAAGAACAAGAAGAAAACAGAACAAACCTAGTTTCAAAGTCAGGAGTTCTGCATGCCCATCCCTTACTATATGCAAATATAACATGGATGGGGAACCTGTGGGCTGCTATATCCCCTCTGAGTAGAAGAGGAGTCCATAGTTGAAACTACATATTGTGTGAAGTAGGACTTCCTCTAATATGTCCTGAATCTCACATGATTCAGCTTCATTGGGGGGGAAATGTAGGTTGTACCCAAGACTGGCTTGCATACCTAAGGACTGTGAAGTGGTCAATTTTTAAAGAGGGCTACAGGAAATGACAAGCCAGTTAGCCTAGCATCTGTTCCAGGTAAACTGCTGGACACTGTTGTGAAAGATGACAGCATATACAAAAGAAGTGTTGCTGAAGAAGAATTAACATGGTTTCTGAGAAAGTAGGACTTGTCTTGCTAACCATTTATAGAGTTATTTGAGAGTGGCAGTAAGTATCTGGATGGGGTGATCTGGGAGACAATGGTACAATCCAACACACCCCATTCTGAACTCCACTGCTAGACTTCCTAAAAGAAAAAGATTTTCACCCTAGATTTTAATCCCTAGCACAAAATTTATCTGCCTCCAGTCATGCTCCATTTAAAAGGAAGGTCAGTGTGCATGACAGTTATGGAGGCAGCCTGCAACAGCAATCTAGGTAGGAATAAGGTTCTGCCCAGAACAGTCAGAAAGCACTTGGGTTTTCTATAATCAAGGACAGAGGTAAAAATGCTTACCATTTAAGAAGTCCCTCTGTGTGTCCAGCACTTGATTGATATCCTCCACCCAAGCTTGCTGGATTTCAGGATTGGCTGCCTGCAAAATGAGCCTTTCTGACGTTTCCCGACTCATGAGTGCGAATTTGCAGGGATCATTGTCCACATTATCCTCAAGGATTAGGTATGTCATCTGCAAGCAACCAGAGAAAGTTCAATGCTCATTCAAGGGGGAGCAAGCAACTTCAGGTAAACTATATAGCAGCTAAACTGAAAGATGCCCCTGCCACCACTGTCCAAATGAAGAGCAGCAACCACAGAAGGTTCACTTCTCCAGAGGAGGAACTCCCAGAGAAACATCCCATAGTTACTTCCAGAAACATCCCATACAGAATACTTGGCTTTCAGCTTTGTTCTTCATGAACAGTTCAATTATCTCTGAGTTACTGGCTTTCTTTAATGGTTAGCAATGCTAATAATTATGGGTGGTAGGAAGAAAATTGCTCTACATGAGATGCCCTCCAAAACAGAAAATGCTTTCTGTCATATTGTCAAATAAACACAAGCAGAAACAGAACAGCCTCTAAGAGGGAAAGTATAATGCTCTTTGCCCAGGCATACAATGCAAGTGTACAAAGGTTTATCATCTGCTGACTGAAGTTTTTTGCTGAACATTTAGAGCAGGGGTTGGGAATCTTTTTCAGTCCTGAAGGTCTCTTTCCTTCATGGGCAACCTTCTAGGGGTCAGATGCCAGTAGGGCACAGATGAAAGTGGATGGGGCAACGGATGCAACTTCTACCTTTGTACAGTAGGCTATATTTGAGCCATGTAGAATTCAGAAGCACACACACACACACACAACACCCACCCATCCATCAAGGCAAGCAAGAGGTGTTTTTGTAGGTCAACAACACATTTCATCCAGGCAAAAGCAGTGAAGGAGACTGCTGAGGCTGTCTGCGAGAGGGTGTAGCTTGGGAATGGGGTATGGCCAAGTGAGAGTACTGAGGGGCCAAGGGGCATTTGGCCCCTAGGCCTAAGGTTCTCCAATTCTGGTTTAGATAGTTCAGCTCTAATTAGATGTGATGTTATTTTGATGCTCATTATCCTAACCCTATGCTATCCTAGCAGTTTTATATAATCACTCACTCAGTCTGCACACACACACACATGTCACAGAATAATAGAATAGAATATTAAAATAGATTATATATCTATCGTACACCATGGCTGCAAGTCAGAGAACGACATGATAGAACTGTAGGACTGGAAAAGGGCCTAATGACCATCTTCTTTAAACCTCCTGCACTGAAGCAGAAGGACCTTTTCACACCACCAACTTTGCTTATTTAGTGTGCAGCAAACCAAGAAAAGGAAAAATGCACTGCAGTGAAGTTTCCAAATGACTCAAGGAAGCACAACCACAACTTACCTTTATGCTTCGCTTAAACAGGTACCCAGGTGTTAGAGAGCCTTTCCTCAGAAGTTCACTAAAGATGACAATTTGCTCAAAGAGGAAAACTCTGCGTTCTTTTGGCCGAGAGAGACCTCCAGAATCCTGCTCTGTTACATAGAATGTATCCTGCTGTAGCAACTTCCCTTGGGCTGCCAGCTTGCCCTAAGTTAAATAAATGTTAAGTTAAACACAGATGGCATAGAAAGAGGAAAGGCACCCAATCATGGCCAGCATGTTATCACATGGTCTGGGGTAGACCTTATGATTTGCTCACGTGTGTGAAATGATTCATTATCACATGATGTTTAGCCATTTATGCTCAAAACTCGCTACCAAGTTCATGTACCCAATACCCTAACATGAATATGGAATTACGTACAATATATGAATGCCCACCCATATATCTGACCCTTGCAAACCTCCTGCATCAAAAAACCCCTGAAGGAACACAGGAATTTGGCATGCAACACACACACAGGTGTATGTGCATATCTCCCACACCATACTATATTGTATGTGTGATAAGGGATTCAGTCCAATGCTCTGCCATATGTAAGATTTCCACATTGGTGACTCTGAAGCAGATGCCTGAAGTTTTACTCAAAATGACTTATAAATTAAGCAATCCCACAGTGGAGAATCAGGAGTAACAGGGAAATTATCTATAAGCTACAACAACTTCAACACAATACTACATAGAAGCTTCAAGGTTTCACTGGACTGAGAGTCACAGTGATGCCTTCAACAACAGCAGCAAAGGTAAAAGGCACCAGGCATAAGAAACTGCTTGCTATGTGATTACAAGTGCCAAAGGAAATGATTAAACAGTCTCCGTTCAGCTGTGTGTGTGTGTGTGTGTGTATGAACATGTGTGAGAGCACACTCATGCCCACAAGTGTACAAATGAAACTTCCTTCCTGGGTAAGACTCAAAGCAGAAAGTTTAAGCATCTCATAGCCACCATTTTATGGAAGAAAGTGCACACAATCCCCCCCCTCCTCTAAAATGCAGTTGGGCTATTCCAATGAGACACAGCTATTAGTGTCAACAATTGTACTATTATATCCACATTCAAAAATATTGACTTTTACCTCAAAGCCCTGAAGACGACCCAGGTTCATCATGTCATTGCAGCGTTTAGGAACAAGGCACATCAGCTCCACAGCTTTCTATTAGAGAGAGGCAACACATAATCAGAACTGGAAGGAATGAAAGGGCATCTAGTGTGCTACCCTACTCAAGGTAGGGCAAACCACGTATTGACCCTTCCATCCATGGTACACAGGCCAGAGTCTGAAAGTGGGCATCTTGTAGAAAGATGTCAGTGGAGCAAATAGCTCAAGAACGCTGAAGCAAGGGGGTCAATGCTTATTTTTCAGGACAGTATAACCAATTACTAAAGTAGCTAGACAGTGGAACTTCAAATATGGCTTCCCATCACACTTACAGTGTGACCCAAAATAATTCTAGCAGGCACAATTATTGCCACCATGGACTGACCACAATTCCCACCCATGTAGATGCCTGCTGTACACATGAAATGCCCAAAGTGACCAGAACAAGAAGAGCCTTCCTTGTTTTGGCTGTGCTGTGAAAGTGGTTCAGTGAAGCCAACGACAGGTGGGGCAGGAACTGAATCCCTTACTACCTTGCAAGCCAGTCATATGAAGCTGCCTTTGCCTCAAACCATCTAGAGACCATTAACTATCAGCAAGCCCCATTAACTTTACCAAATGCAAACCCTGATGAAGCCATAGCTCCACAGCCTGCCTTTAATTGGGGCTACAGAACGGTTGGTTTTGGACATAGGAAAAGGATTTTGAACTCCTGTTCCAGACCTGAGAATGAGGGGAAAGCTGCATCTGACTGTATTGTCTAATTTTGTGTTATGCCATGCCCCCATGGTGCACTCTTTCAAAATTCAGAATGTGCCCACTGATCCAATTATTGGCAACCACTGCAGTATGGGACAGAGTGAGCCTATGCATAAAGAGAAAGTTCCCCACTTCAGACCTCCCCCCCCATGAACTGATGGCAGGAAGGGGCTGTAAAGCTCCATTCAACACAAAGGTGAGCATGTGGAGAATGCTTGAAAGGGACTTCAATAAAATTATCTGAACAAATACTGTTTGGTAGCCAACACGGTCCCCTCCAGCTGTTGGATCACAACTCTTGGAGGGGGCGATGCTGCCTGGGACCGATGGAAGTGAGATCAAGCAACATCTTGGTGTACTGAAAGAGCCTTTGCAAGTTCTAGGCTGGTATCTGAACTTGTGTCTTCCAAATTTGTAACTTTGTGTTTTCAATTAATGCATCATATCAAATGTCACCTTGTGTCAATTGCAACTATCCTTGATGACCAAAGGAAGAGGGCAAGGAAGGTCTAAAGTAAGGATATTCAATTTGCTGCTCATAAGGCTAGGTTTTCATTCACTAATTTTAGCTCGAGTTGACATTTTACATCAAACATTACTGAAAATGAATACAGCATAAAAGCAAGTATTTAAAGGCAGTGGGGGCAGCGGCGTAGCGTGGGTTGTCAGCACCCGGGGCAAGGCAAGTAAATTGCGCCCCCTAACCCGTGGATTTGCACCCCCTAACCTGTGGATTTGCGCCCCCTAACCCGTGGATTTGCCCTAACCCCAGATGTTGCGCCCGGTGCGGCCGGCCCCCCCTGCACCCCCCATGCTACGCCACTGAGTGGGGGTAGGGTGGGGAGTAAACAATAAAAAAATCATTTTTCTTTTTCTTACTGGTTTCACCATATGAAAATCACTCTTATATACTTTTTTGGTATCTTGACTTTCTGTTAATATACAAACATCCAAGCCAGCTCACAACATGAACACATTATAATCATTCAATAAAAACAATACAAAAGAGAAAAGAAAGCAGATAAAAGTCCATACCTCTGTCTCTGAACATTCCAGCCCAGCTTTTTCACTATATTTTAGAAAATCCTACAGGAATGAAAAACATCCTCTTAAAAATAATTAACAAGAATACATATTAATATCTTCCCCTTTGAAGGCATACTTGCTTACTTGTGGAAATGATTTTGCGTGGCAAGGTTCCAAACCCTCCCGAGATGTTAAGGAATAAAGACACATGAGACCACTAACTTTACGTGAGTCTATGCTGCGGTTTAAAAGTGCCACCCATTTAAAGGTCCTAACTGATGAACAAATAGAACACAAGACTGAAACAAAATGTATACATTTACAAATTTTATTGTGATCTACAGTAATTTTATTATGCATGATTGAATCTGCAGGCTTTTTGAATGCTGAACATGTAACCGTACCTTTCAAATTTAAATGGTCTCTATAGGGCACCTGGAAAACACCCCATCCACTCAACCCTGCCTTCACGGTGCACGCCCCCTGTACTGCAATAGCTTTGATGCAGTATGGGGGAAAACAAACAAGTAAAGCTCCAGTATACATACAATGCTCCAGGGAGCATTGTGGTTTAGCCTGCTATAGCAACTGGGTTGTTTTTGTTTTTTTTTGCCATTATCAGGATACAGGTATTTGGATAACCTTTTTCCTAGACACAACACTTCACTGGTATATTTCACCTTGAGTAGCAGCTGGTACTTGGTTATTCTTTGAATGGGCTTTATTAAGAAGTCACTGAGTGATAGCCGCTGGTTTATTTCTTGTTGCACCTCCTAGAAAATAAAAAGTAGGCAATATCAACAAAAAATATACTTATTTATATCTTGTCTTTGTTTCAAGGAAAATCAAGGGGTCCCCATCCAAGCACTGACCAGACTATGCCTTACTTAGTTTTAGCAAAATTTTCTAACATGTGCCTTCTGTCAATTCCCTGAGATTATTGTCATCTATGACATGTTGACTAGCCCATCTTTCCAAACCGAACAGTTAGACTAGTCCAAATGTTACTACAATAGGCCAGTAACAATTAAGATTAGTATTGTACAGATGAATATAATTTTCCTTTACTCTTCTTGTTGAGTGGGTGGGTGGGTGGGTAGAAAAGGAGGTTAAAGTGAATGTATCAACTTTGACTCCAAGTGGCAGGTGTAGAGCTTGCTGTACCCCTTACCATTTGCATAAATATGCTTTACCAAACAAAAAATTTGATACCACAGGTAAGTAAGACAGCCCCCCACAAACTGCCTGGTCCTACCAGCAACAAATGTACAGGGAATCATGTGGGGCACAAGAGAAAGAACACACTGCTAAATATAAGACAGAATTTACTTGGAAAGCAAAGATAGAAAGAAAGGGGGAAATCCAAATGGGATAAGCTTGCTGACACAGCTGTAGGAATGTGTGTGCAAATATGAGAGGGGAGAAGAGATCCTGTCAGGTGTATTTTAAGCTGCAACATGAATAAGGAAGGAAGGCCAAACCTTACCTCAAAATATGCACCACATTCCGCTACTATATATTCAGATTTTGGTTTGTTTTGACAGTACACCACATACATGTGTAATCGCCTCTCCTGTAAAAGCAAAATTTGCATAGTTTTCTTAGTCTAAGCCCAGACTAAAGCTTTTACCACTGCATAGACAGTGACAGAAAGCAAATTTAATTACTCTTGTCAGCCACAGCCCAGACGGTCTTAGGGAGTATTTATTTTCCTTGTTTTAATTTTACTGTCTACTATCACCCTGATCAAAGCACTGTGTACAGACACCAACTTTTGGAAAAGGAATGAGGAAAGCAAGATAAAACTAAAGTCTCTTTCCTAAACCCGAAGCACAAGCACCCTCCTTCCTCCCAAAGATAATGTGGGAGTGGGTCGCCCCATGTGGACATCAGATTCAGGCAATTGTTCAAGAAGGGTAAGACTGCATGATTGCTTGTCAGGAGACATGCCACACATGCCACTGCTGCTTTCATTTTGCTGCAGCTTCCATATCTCTCCGGTTAGCTTTCTGAAGCAGCTAGGCACTGCCGTAGTGCTGCTGCTGAGAGGACAGGAACAGAGCTCCTTGGATCACTGGCTGTACAAAAGCAAATAGGTGGTACTGTCAACTAGAATCTTCAATATACAAAGAGATAGTTCATGGGCTCCTGTGTCAAATGGCCCCACACTATTATTACTTCCTCAAGCCAAAAGATGAGGACATGCTCAAAGCCAGCCAGCAAGTATATGATTGATATAGGATATTAATCCAGGTCCAAGCCCATCAAGCTATTACTAAGGAGGCACTTGTTCTATAATCCTAGTTGAAGTGTAAAAAACGTAGACTGTTTAATAAGCAATGTATTATTAGAAATTGCTGAGCTTTACATCTGTGTTAGTTTAGCTCTGTTCTTGAAGACACACATCCTGTACAAATATACAAAGGTTGTAGCCAGGAAGCAAGCAGCTAAACAGTATTTGAAGCAGCATTTGGGGTGGTGGGTACATTTCCAAGTTTTAACAGAAGCAATTAAGTAAAACACAACATTATTACAATTATGGCTTTAGGTAAGACAATTTTGTGGATATTGAAGGAAAATTACTTTCATTCTGGAAAAGTAAAATAAATACTCCACTCAAACATCCCATTTTATGGCTTGAGGGAAATCCAGGTATTATTCCTATCCTCATTTGGGGTGTGTGTGTGTGTGTGTATAATTAAAATATCCAATCAGTACAACAGGGACATATTTTGGAGCTATTTCTGTTTTTTAAAAGGACTAGCATGTAACTCACATGTTTGATGAAGAGCTGTGCTAAACGGTCATGCTCTTGAAGGCACTTTTCCAGTTCAGCAAGAAAAAAACTGCAATAAAAAATACACAGCTATTCACAAAGTCTCCCTCAGTACTCTTCACCACCATACTATATAGTTTTATCTGATTTTGCCTTGCATCACAGATAAAACTACCCTCATATAAGATCGGTTACTTCTGAATAGCTTAGCCTGCATCATCCTGCTAATGCTTAAGAGAATTTAATTGCACATGAGGAACTAGTGAATATAAAAAGCCCATCCGTTGGCATGCAATATCCTCCTCCAAATACTGAGAACCTTGCTGTTCATCTGTTAATGAAGATAGCCCCAGTCAAGTCTTCCTGTTGCAAAGAAATAGGGATAATTGCCCATAATTCTTAGGAAAAGGTTGTGAAAACAGGAGTCAATTATCATACATCTCTGTTCCATGGAATTTATCCCTGCCACCACCTGCATTTTTGAACTATTTCCTTTCTGCACATATAATAAATTGAAAGTTCATCCTTGCAACCAATTTGCAACCCTGAGATTCTCCAATAACATATGTTCATTTGATTTTAAATGAAGGATTTTACAGAGCCTCATCATGGGTGCAACTAACAAATAATGAGAGGCACAGAAAAATAATTTCAGCAATTACTGAGTAAAAGAGGCAATACTAGAGTAAGAGGCCAGAACAGTGCTGTGTCCTGTAAGTCATAATATTCAGTCAACTAACATCTATGGCACTAGATACTAGAGTTTTTGCTTGAAGCTTGCAAGAGACCTCTTGGGATATAACAAATGCTCAGAATCACATACCTTGTGGCACTGAATGAAATGTTGATTGCTGCTACTAGCTATAGAACATTAAATCACAATGAACTTCTCCCAGAGGGTGAGGGGATGTAGTATAGTAGTTCAGGCCAAGTAAAATGTCTATGTATATGAGAAGTCTATGCATTTTAGCAATAGTCAGTTAAAAGCTGACTGCAGACTTACTCTTTGTGCCAGTCATAGATCTGGTGAATGTTACCGAACACTATCTTGTCTTTCCCTTTCATGTCTTCAGGAACACCTTTTTCTTCTATCCTTTTCATGAATCCCTTTAAGGAAATTTTAAAAAATAAATTTTAAAAAGCAAATTTCAAATTCCAGATTTTGTTATATTTTTGAGATACACATCATATTCAAATGAGACTTATTCTATATCCATGGAAGGGAGCAATTAAACCTTAAAGAAGTGCAAAAAGACAGCATTAAAACATTTCTTCTGTGCCCTCAGATGGCAGATAAAATTATCTGGTTTTGGTTCATGAAGATTATAGTGTTAGAATATTACTCAATTTGAGAAGCCACAGTAAGAATATATACCCAATCTAGATTATTTTACTCACCTCCACCACGATTCCTAAGTCTTTGACATAGTCTTTCTCTGTCTGTACAAGTTCATTTAAAACAAACCTAAAATTCAAAAGAGGAGCATATTGTAGCAGCCAGGTTAACTATACGTCACGTATACATGGTCAGCAACTATTTTCACTAGTAGACTAAGTAGTAGTAGTAGACTTTTCACTAAGTAGACTCTCATCTGAGTCGGGCAATATCAGGGCAGTTCAGGTTCATTATAAACAGGCAATTCCCACACCAAAGGCATGCATTGTAAAAAAAATAAAATTATATGGTGGTACAAGAGGATTCAAAGCCACCAAAGCAACCAACTTCTTTCAACTCTCCTTACATACATTAATGTCACTGGTTGCTCTATTGAAAATAGTGGGTGAAGACATATACAGTTAACTCGCATCTTACGAGAGGGCTTGGTTCTAGAGCAGGCTTCTTCAAACTCGGCCCTCCAGATGTTTTGAGACTACAATTCCCATCATCCCTGACCACTGGTCCTGCTAGCTAGGAATCATGAGAGTTGTAGGCCAAAAACATCCAGAGGGCAGAGTTTGAGGAAGCCTGTTCTAGAGGTTCAAGAGTGAACGCAAAATGCATAAAGCCAGGAGACTCTTCAAAGTGGAGGGCTGCTTACTGGGTTCTAGGAAGGTAACACGAGGGCTCTAGGACACTGCCAGAACCCTTGAGCCTTCTTCCCAAAGCCTGGCAAGCCTGCAATCGCAGTTGTGTGTGGTGGTGGCAGTGGCGGGTGGGGGACTAAATAAATGGGGAGTGGAGAATGGTGGATTCCCTACCCTCTCCATTTATTTATTCCCCCCTCAACTGCACAAAGGTGCAATCATGTAAGTTTACAAGTGTAAGCTGTGAGTTACCTCTATAACATATTAAGAACAGAAGAATTAGTTTTAAGAATGCCATCGCCATAGTTTATAAAACTGTTCCTGGGAGAGCTTTAATTGGTTCTGTGGTTTCAGCATAACTTCTTCTGAATCAGAGCAAAGTCGATTGTTGAAGGAGCCTACTGGCTAATGCCCGGAGCTTCACCACTATAGACTTTATCCACCGGTTCTGAGGTCATGTATAAGGGGCATTCTTCTACATTAAAAAAAAACAATCTTTAGATACCTACTTGAGAAAAAACCCCAAAGTTTACTTACATTCTGCCTCTCATAGCTTTGGCTTTTTGTTCTTCTTCAAGGTTTCTTGAAGGAGGAGTTGAAGGTGTCACATTTTCGTTCAAGCATCCAGTGGAATCCTTTAAGCTTCCCCGGTAGGAGCCTCCTTCTAATGTCTTAAAAATAAGAAAAAAGCCAAAGGATTCAACAGAAAATCTTAACAGATTGACTATATAGCTATTCCTATAGCTACTTCCTCAGGGGATCTGTATTTGCAATAATTAGTAAGCGGGGGGACGGAACCCTTCAATTTTCTCAAAATGTACCCCAAGGTGACATTTATTTTGTTTAGGCTGATTGGGGGAAGACAGCAGAATAGAACTGGCTTGATTCAGTACAGCAGTTTACAAGCTAAGAACTTCTCATTCATTCCAAAGTTTTCCTAAATATTCTGAAGACCTCCTGAATAGGATAAATGTTAAAAGGTTACAGTATATCTGTGCTAAGTGTTTCCTGAAGCTGGTCCCCCCTTTTTCCCTACGTGTTTTGTACATCCCATCTGCAGATCTGCTCTGTGGCACACTTTTAGGCTAGTCATGGATTTGGTTAGTTCCAAACCAAATGATACCTAATTTGCAGTAAAAGGTAGATTCCCCTCAGAAGCAAATAGGTGATTGTGGGGTCGTGCAGCTGTTTTGTTCTTATTCCACATTTGTGCAGAAAACCAAATCTCTCCTTTTTGCTTTAATGGGGAAAATAGGAAGGGAAGAAACTGAGGGATACCAACAGTGGAAGAGGGCTGCTGATTTGCAATACCTAACATCACACTAGAAGAAGCTGGCTAAAATGAGCCATTTAAATATTTAATTTATTCCAGTATACAAAACACTCAAGACAATATTTGTTTCATTTAACAGAAATACCATTATCCCATCTGAGATCGAATTCTTATTTTTTAAATTTCAAGACACAGAAGTGAAGCATCTAGGATTCTTAAAAAGTACAAAGTATATTGTCTGAATGGCAATTTATGTAACTATTTGCAAAATGAGCTTTCCATTTCCTGTATCAGATTCTTACTTGTAAGCAGTGCTTAAACTGGTCTTCTAGATCAGCTGTCATGGGATTCTGTGATATACCAAGTCAGAATATCAGCATTGAAATCACATATGGAAGGGTAGGTGGTAAGGAGAGAGGCAAGAAGAGTTCACACAGGCATAAGTGCTGTTCTCAAGCCAATTAAACCATGGCTTAACATAGTCAAGTTGTAACCAGGACTAAGAGATGGCTGACCTTACTAGTATAGATAGATAGATAGATTTCAAAAAGAAACATCAACCTCCATCTGAAAATGAAAATGGAGCTTAGCTATGATAAAGGTGATGTAATATTGCAACAAGCAAGTCTGACCCAAAAAGTTGTTTCTTTATTTAAGTAATACAACTCAATTTTATGCATGTTCCTTTGAGATGTCCCACTGAGTTGTACAGCACATGCTCCCAAGCAAAGGTAGATAAGATAGCAGCTTTAGTTTGCCCAACTGAATTAAGCTGCCTAGGATTATTTGTTACTGTATTCATTACTGCAAGCCGCCTGGAGTGTCTACAACTAAGGTGGGACATTAAATTGAAAATATTGCTTCATGAACCATATACTGAACAGCCCTTGAACCAAGTTTTCCAAAAGTGGCTCTTTTTTGGGGGTGGGGGGTGGGGATACATGAAACAACAACCTTCTAATACGCCTAGTGTTTTAAAAAAAACAAGCAGAAAAATGACAGATTCGACACAGCATAGCACTTGACTGAATATTGTAAAAGAAATAAAACATTTTAAAAGGAAAAATACTTGATCTGCAATCACACCCCTAGAAATTTACCAGGTAAGTAATAGATGTTACGGACTATACTATAGCCCACTGATGATATCAGGAATATGTCAACGAATCAAGTCATTTGCAAAAAATAAAAAATAAAAATGGTTTTACTGCACTTTAACTCTAGCAACTAGTTGACGATAGAACCAACATGGAACTGCAATTAGCTACTCAGTGGTGACGATAGTCAGCAATATGACCAGCAGCCAAATTACGGTGTTGCTCAACTAGGACGTTTCTCTTCATGGGATCCTAGGTCTTCACACTTACCAGCTTGCTTTTGACCAGTTTTTCTATTGCACTGACAAGATCCGCTGCAGTTGGGACATCGGAGATGCTCTGTCGAGCAGCTAGCAAAGAGGAGGACTGCAAGACACCAGTTTGCAAAGGAACAGCAGGTTAGCAGGAATGAGAAGGAACTAGGAAAGCCAAAAGGCTAGCAGTTTGAGGTCACACAATGGGGCACAAGCAGTGGGGGGGGGACATGACAGGAGCATGAAGGGTTGAGGGGAGGTCATGACATACAAAAGGCAGCAGCACTTAGCAGCAGACTGGCAAAGCACATAACCTGCTCTGGGATTACGGGTAAAATGTATGTCTGAAGGGGTTTTTCTAAAGACCACCACTTAGTCACAAAGAAGAGCCAAAGAGTAATTAAAAGAGTAGTTTGGCTCTTGTTTCTATATTGTGAAATCTTCCAAGATTTTTGTGCTACTTCAGGAACAAGCAGCAGTGGGTGAAGGGAGCAACCCTTTTCCCCAAGGCTCTCTCCATATGCCTGCCAGCATGCAGAATCCATCCCTTTCTCTTGCTAAGCTCACTCCTATAGAGTACAATACAGTGGCAGGTTGGATCAGACTAGGGATTTGACAAGCTCAACACTTCATTGTAATGTTTTGCAATAACCTCATGTTATTATGAAATTCTACTTGGTGTACAATTTATTGCCCAAGATTCAAAAATGGAAAACACTTTGGACTGTTATTTCTCCTTGCTGTCAACTTTAAAAACGTGAGTGGCAAAGATAGATCAAAGTATCAGTGGTACCCTTCTTTACAATACCAAAACTGTCAAATGTAAGTATGTGTAGAGAAAACATATGCATTTCCTCCCCAAACTCAGACTGCAAGTTATGTGTGTCACACTTAGAAGGCCATTGGAGGTCCTCTCTCTCTCTCTCTCTCTCTCTCTCTCTCTCTCTCTCCTATTCCTTTCCAAGACAGGAATAGATAAATATCTGAAGCAGTACAGAGAGATCCTCCAAATCTTAAAACAGCTTTAAAATACATTCTTACTAGGTTTGCAATCTTTTCCACCTATCCTGAAGACTAGATTTTGGGTGGTGGCAGGCTGTTGTTTTTAAAGCAAGGTGCATAATACTCTGAAGCGAGAAGAACACCTCCCCATGTCATTTCCTTTGTGAGGAATGAGGCCGACAGAAAAGACTCATCCTGCCAGTTCTTCAGCAGAACTGGACCTTGGGTGAAGACAGAAGTTGTTCGCATGTCGTGGATGCAAATGCCCAGGCCATTCCTGTTCCTTCAAAGGCATAGAAATTCGCCAACTGTACTATAGCTAAATGAGGAGGCAGATGTAGTTAATATGCCCAATCCTAGAGTACTGGGCGCCAATCAAAAGAATTCTGGACCAAATGTGGCATAGCCATGGATTCCTTTGACCTTGACTACTCTAGGCCCTGGTACTGTCCAGTTTTGACTATGTGGAAAAACTACAGAAGTAGTACAGAAATATGCATAGTTTGGAGATTGCATACAACTTGCATATTTGCCACCTGAATTCTATAAGGGCAGATGGAGCTTTAAAAGTAAACTATTAGGATTAACAAAGTTTAATCAACTTTTTTTTTTAATCAACTTCACAGGTGTAGCAGAGGGGAGAAGAGTAAAGGCAATCAAGCACCAAGAAAAAGCCAGTGAAATTAGTAAGTGTTGCTAAATTGAACTCAGAGAAGTGACAGTAAATATCAGGCAGGTAGCTATCTCAATAAAGCAGACTATTGTCTGAAAGTCAGCCAGCACTGACAGCTGAAGGCTCCTTAGGAACTGCTGCTGAGTGATGTATCACTCTAGTCGCTTTATCCCTAAGAATACCTACAGTAGACATCTTGTCATTCTCCTCTGATACCTTATCATTCACTTAGAGCCAATCAGCAACTCGAATTAAAGTCGGTGAGAACAGAATTCCAAGTAACCGTAAAGGTTACTGCAAAATACAGCACAGAGGAGTTACCTTATGGCGACCAATCTCAGTGATGTGAGGTGGAAAAATGTTCCAGTGCTCTGTTCTTCCACATAAACATTTCCATTTCTTAAACTCATTAGCAATGAATGGATACCAGTTGTAAATGTAATACTAGATAAGTCTGGCAGTTTCAAAAGTTTTAAGCTTTGTTTACCAAATACAAGCAAAATAACTTGCTAAATGAGATCATTTTCCAGAGTGATTTAAAGATTTTCGGAAATTTTTCCAACTCAGTATATTTCAGAAAATCCATATCACTGCCTGATATCTCAGCTTAGGAAAAGCCTTAAAAAGAAATGAATAATACAGGTTACTGGAAATGTATTTAAGGGAGGAAACACAGTAAAAGGCTCTTCTTCACTCTGGAGATTTAATCCTCCTCGTGTATACCATTTTACTGTACTTCCCTTCAAGAGAAGTGTAACCACATCATTCACTTTTCTATCTTCTGGTTATTGGAGATACTCAAGACTGCTTTCTTCAAAAGTTATATGACAAAGTGACTAGACTACAGTTTAAGGGCTCCCTCCAACCCAAGTGGATTTCAGCCTCAATGCTTAGGGTTAAACTTCATGTGATGCTTTGAGTCTCAATATGGCCAAAGTGGTTTTGTTTACAACCAGAATAGCTGTGGTTCATGTCAGGGGGAGGGGACACTTATCATCTTCCCTGTGGGGCATTTGTCTCATCAAAATTACCTCACCCAATTGCTATTTGCTTTAAGGAAGAAAAGACAGGCATGCATACATTTCCCCCTACAAGGCAAAACAATGTTTTTTTGTGGGGTGAGGAGGAGAGATCTATTTTAAAAAATGGCCTTCAGGAAAACAGATAAGCATTTCCCCTTTCAACTTCTCATAGTCCCCCTCCCCCTATTAAGCCAGATAAAAGTTTATTGCAGCTGCTTTGGTGGGAGGGGAAACCCTTGGGAAACCACTCACATTATGAGTAGTTTGACTCCAAACCAACATGCCAATTACTACACCACCCTTCCAGAAGCTGCAAATATACGGTAATCTATAGCAAAGCACTTTTTACCACTCTAGTACATCCAGAAAACTGAGCACTCTGTGTTCCAATGAACAAATCAAGGTGATGCTGGGATTGCAGAATGCTTTCACAACAACAAGGTCACACTATCAAGTATGAAATAACATTTAAAGCCCAAGACCTGTCCATGCCTCTTTTAGAGCTGTCACACCTTGCCACAATTAAAAACAGCTTGACTACACTGATGGGAAATGAAGGACTCCCAATGATCAGCAAGCCCTCTCTCCACAGAGCAACAGTCTATGGTAGTGGTTCCCAATTAGCTAATTACTGAGGACCCCCTATTTTTCAGAAGACAAGCCACAGACCCCCTACTTTTGAAAATATTGATAACTCTATGGTAGTTACCTTGGCAAAGCAATTTTTTTGAAGAAAATGTGGGGTAGCCCCTAATAAGCAATGGATTTTAGGTATACTAAAAACAGTTTTTACCATGCTGAAATGACAAAGATTTAGTTTTGGGTTGGGGAGACAAATTTAATTTTATTAAAGTATAGTAAGGTAAAGGTAAAGGGACCCCTGACCATTAGGTCCAGTTGTGGCCGGCTCTGGGGTTGCGTGCTCATCTCGCTTTATTGGCCGAGGGAGCTGGCGTACAGCTTCTGGGTCATGTGGCCAACATGACTAAGCCGCTTCTGGCGAATCAGAGCAGTGCACGGAAATGCCGTTTACCTTCCCGCCGGAGTGGTACCTATTTATCTACTTGCACTTTGATGTGCTTTCGAACTGCTAGGTTTGCAGGAGCAGGGACCAAGAGACGGACGCTCACCTCGTTGCAGGGATTCAAACCGCCGACCTTCTGATCGGCAAGTCCTAGGCTCTGTGGTTTAACCCACAGCGCCACTTGCATCCCTGATTAAAGTATAGTACAAGTGAACAAATTATGACATGTCTAGCAGATACTAAACCTAATTTATATGCCAACATTTTATATGCCACCCATCTGGCTGGGTTACCCCAGCCACGCTGTGCAGCTCCCAACAAAATGTTAAATACACACTAAACCTAAATGTGATGGGCATCTTTTTGTCCCGAACAATCCTTTCCACATCTGGTTCAATATTTCCTACTTTCATTCTCAAATCTGATTCAATATCAAGCCAATTTCTATGCATGTATCTGCAAAGATAAATGGAACAGAAGGGAACTAGATGTTTCAAAACATTTTCACCAAACTTCTTATATTCAGCAAAAACTTTCACCCAGAATTGGTCCAGCCTACATTCTTTGAAAAATGATTTCAATGAACCATCACAAGTCACTTCAACAAGTGCATCTTGCTCTTGTGAGGGATTACACTGTTGAGCATTGTATTTAACAAATAGGGCTGTCAATCAACAAATGACAACATCTAGATTTCCCCAGTAACAGCCCGCCCCTGTTTAAAGGATGGCCAAACCATTTGCCTAGTAACAGTGAGGTGTCTTGTCAGCCCCGCCCGCAACCTGTGCTCTCCATGAGGGAGAACACACTTTGTTCTTAATAACCTCCCAGATCACAATGGAAGTTGCTCGGGTACATGGCTTAGCAAGTGGAGGTCCACCTGTATCACCACCTTATCACTACAAGCATTCATTCACATGGGTATATGCACTGAAGAGCCCTGCTGGATCAGATCAAAGCTCTAATTCAGTATCCTGCTTTTCACAGTAGGCCTTTGGCAACACCATAAGCAGCTGGTACTCAGTGACATACTGCCTTGCCTCTGCAACTGAAGGCTGCATATGGACATCATGAATAGTCATCCTTGATAAGATTTATTCCCCATGAGTTGCATTACACATAGTGCTAAGGAGATCATTCCATCAGCACAACCACTCCTGCTTGCCTAACAAAAATATCCCTTCTCCTCCCCTTGCACACTGTTCTAGGACATACCGTTAAGTCCCTTGGCACTGGCGGGAATTGTTGTGCTGGCTTCTGCTAGTACAACAATTCAGCTGAATATGGCCCCATGAATATGAATTCATATGTATCCCCCTTTAAAGCTATCTAAGCCAGTGTCTTTTGTCACACCATGACACTGAATTTCATAAACTAATTATATTATGTCTTTACGGGTACTATTTTGTTTGCGTCAAATCTCTTGTTAATCAGTTCCATTGGATAACCAAGGGTTCTAGTATTAATAGAAAGATACTCTGCATCCATGTTTTCCACATCAAGTATAAGATGTCATCCTTTTTTCTATACTTTAAAACCCCAGATTTTATTGCCCCTCTTCCAGCTGCACCCCTGATCATTCTGGTTCCCCCTTCCTGCATCTTTCCAGCCCTACAGTATTTTTTTGAGATAGGGTGACCTGAACTATATATATATTGGGTGAACTTTAAGAGAGAATCTGCTGTTTGTGTCATACTGAAACGATATTGACTGTAGAACACTCAGTCTACTACTGCATATCTACTTCAGAGGCCCCTGCTGGCAACATTATGACTCATATATTCAGTCCCATGATGAAGTTTTTCAAACCTTGGGCACAACGTGCACCACACACTGCACCATTAGCAGTTATTGCCGCAATCACCTTTTCTTGCCCAATTTCGCTGCAACACAGGTGGAGACAACATCAGCATCATGCTAGAATACCGTATGTATGGCTGTTGCTGTACCACAGTGGTTTTAAGAAGTATTCTGGGAAACCCAAAAGTTCCTTGGAAGTTTATCAAGAATTTCTCAGTCAGAATACTGGTAACAGTAGGCAGGCTTCCCTGAAAGAAAGCTTGCCCACCCACTGACAAATCTTTCCTTGCAGCAGCGTATTGCAGGGCAAGTATTGGTTATGTTTTAGCAGTAACTCTCAGTTCATGTAAAGAAATGGTGAGGTGAAACAGATGATAGAATCATAGAACTGTAGAGCTGGAAGGGGCCCCATCTGAACCAAACACTCATATTATAATACACCCCAGAAGCACCCACAAGGTCCAGAAATTCCTCAGCAGGCAAGTTCACATAGAAAGCTTTCTTCTGAACGTAACAACTGCTCTACAGAAAAGGCATGAAATGCAAAATAAAAAAATCAAGCTACAAGCTACAAAGGTAAGCAGACTAAGTCACAAATATTCTGATTATGACAGGAGGGAAAGGAACGGGGAAATATCCTTGAGCGTTGCAACAATGGCCTTGAAGACGGATTGCTCAGTGCCATTCCTTCTGGATACAAAGTGAGGGTGTAAAATAACACATTTCAATATATAGTACCCTATTGAAACACCATGCCTGGTTCCCTGGATTCAAGGAGGTGTTGTTTTTTCAAACACACACACAAAAGAACTCAAAGTTATTCTGAGAAAAAAAAATAATGAAAAAAAAGACCCGAGTCCTACCATGTCATCCTGTGTGGGATCATTATCAAAAATCTTCATAGGAGGAGGGAGTGGTGTATGAGATTCTTCATCTGGCTCATCTTCGCCCCAACCTTTCTTGCTCTTCTGAAAGCAAGGGAAATTTCATTATGAACAGGCAAAGTTGGACAGAATGAGAGAGTCCCTCCCATTATATTTTTATGGTGTTGGAACTCCATAATCATACCAAATCAAATCCAGACAAAGGAGTGGGTTGTTGTGACAGATATAAAAAGAATATTTACCTAGCCTTTCCCCTCTGATGCCTAGTGAGGTAGAAAGGGAATTCCCTACATAAGGGAGTCCAATGCAATCCTCTAACCCTCATATTAGCATCAACATAAAACATTATTAATTTCCTTTAAAGGGGCAAGAGGATCTACAATAAATCATTCACTGCAGCATTAGGACTTCAAATTTGATCAGGAAAGACCACCGTGCTGCTTAAAATAGCAAATGTTCTGCTAACCAGTTCTCAAGTTCCTCACTGAACTGGATCTGACTGTTAGGCATGAAAAAAACCTCTCTTTTTTTGAGCCTGCTACATTCCTGGGCATATATTTGAATGAGCACACTAGCTCCTTCCAGCAACCTAGTTCTATTTATTGATTTATAGCATTCCTGCATCACTCGCACTATTGCCAGAGCAACACTTTGAACCCCAATAGAATAATTTAAAATCCTTTGAGCAGCTATTAGAGCAGTCATAAAATACCCATAAATGAATCCATATCTGCAGCTGCAAAAGGAAGATAACAAATCTATGCAAAATGACCAGAAAAAATGTGATGGAAAATAAAAATGCAAGAGCTCTGGTTCCCTTCATGATCTATGGTGTTATTTTACATCACACAGCAAAGATGGTGGACAGTAGGCAAGCCCAAGCTTTGGAAGGAAGGAGCCAACAAACATAAAGGCTGAGGCCTAGGGAGTAACTAGTCTGGATGGGGTGATACAAGAATCCTCTTTATAGTGAGGATATAGGGCTTTCCCAGTTTTGATACAAGGATGGATGCTTTTCTACAGTTATTTCAAAACTTATTCCAAAACAATGTGAAGAATCAAACAAAGGGAAGCTTTATGCTCAAGTCAGCATTCTTAAAAAAAAGGTATCAAACTATGTCCATACCTCATCTGCACTGTCTCCCTGGGGCGTGGTCTCGTCTCCAGGCTTGGGGGATCCCAGGTCAAAGCTTTTCCTTCCTTCGCGCACTTTCTTCTGCTTCTTGATGTTACTGTCTGCCTTTCCACTATTCAATCGGCGTACTGGACTGGTTAGCCATTTCTTCAGTGTGTTGGTAGAGCGCTTTGGACCAGGGGAGCTCTGGATGGAATTGATGGATGAATGAGGCTGCAAATTGGCCACCGATTCAGATTTCCCTCCATTTTCATTAGAGGATGCTGAATAGGAATCTGCCAGAACAAAATAATAAAAATGCTAAGCAAGACAGGGTATTATGTTAGACAGTTCTTTCTGAAAATGGAAGCTAATTTGGTTGATATAAATATTAAATCAGAAGGAGAGTGCTATGTTTAAAATTAGAAGAGAACACACAGTTAAGTCTAAACTAAGTGGACACTAAATGTACTCATTTCCCTTTCCACAGGTGTCCACCATCCCTTCCTGATCTGTACTTATGGAACACTCTAAATCTATTTTACTGGCTGGTCTGTTTGTCAGGTATGAATATAAGGAATCTTTTCTCCATACAGAGGACTTCACAAATCCTCAGTACTGTTACTTCTCCTGCCAAAATCATGAAGAGTCCATTATGGTCAGTTGGATGTTTGTCCATACATTCGCCAAGGGAAGTTTGCTTTTTCTGGCCAAGTTAGGGGGGGGGGGCTAAGTCAACTTAACACTTCAGAGTTGCCTATCTGTAAAAACAGCTGGCACTGGCTTTTCACTGCTACTGATATTTTCAGCCTATGCATTCATATTAAGTAGCATTAAACTGACAAGAGATAAGCAACCACTGAAAATGCTTCCACTCCGCTATCTTATGTACGATAGGCTTTGGACATTTTCCATTCACAGAAGCCACATGATCTGGAGGCGGGTGAATAACGCAAACTATTATCAGAATGCTGTTTGTCAGCAGATTCCAAGGTCAGACTGGTTGATCCAACATTCTGAAGATATATGCAGGATACAAGCTTGTCTTATTCCACTACCAACCATTCTAATTTTGCTGAAGTGCTTTATACTTGGTGTGTGCTCGCTACAGAATTAATAACATTTGGTACCCCTTGTTTCAGCAATACCTCCTCTAGTAAACTAGTGTTGTACTTTGGAACAGACCCAACTGTCCTCTGTCCTGGCACTTGGATCAGCCAATTACATTAGGAGTTGCTGAATTAGTTTATAAAAATACCAACATATATGTGGGGGCTTGAATGCCTGGGAAGGTGCCATATTGACATCTCTATACAATGAAGCTTTGTTCCATCAGGACTGCAGCCCTGTGTTGAGTGAACAAGCATTGCTAACTGGAAGAACATTTTACTTGCCACACTGTATTATTTCTGCACAAAACTCCAAATGACATGCTAAAAGGTCCAAGGCATGTATATGTTTGATCCAACATTCCAACTATGCATTAATTGATGGGCAATAAAGTCATCAAGCACATCCCTCCCCTAAGCTTGAACAAGTAAGTTTCTCTGCAAAGGTACCAGTTTATGAAGTTTCTACGTAGTAAAGCAAATGTTCCAAAAAATCAACCCTGCATTTACAATTTCATATTGACTTTTTTTTAGGACTCAAAATATGCCAAGTGTATTTTGAATATGTTTCCATGTTCAGTAGTAACCATCAATGTGAGTTTTTTTAACCATTATTTGAGATATATAAAAACTGGTTAGGGTTTCAATAGCAATGTACATTACACACACACACGCACACGATTCTGTCCCACATGGAACCTTTGGGATTGAGAGGATTATGCAATTAAAGCATTGTGAAGTATTTTGGAGAACTGGAACAACCTACAATGAGGGGCAAAGGGAAGCCACAGAGCCTAGGGCTTGCCGATCAGAAGGTCGGCGGTTCGAATCGCCCGCGATGGGGGGGTTGCTCGATCCCAGCTCCTGCCAACCTAGCAGTTCGAAAGCATGTCAAAGTGCAAGTAGATAAATAGGTACCGCTCCAGTGGGAAGGTAAACGGCGTTTCTGTGCACTGCTCTGGTTTGCCAGAAGCGACTTAGTCATGCTGGCCACATGACCCGGAAGCTGTACACCGGCTCCCTCGGCCAGCAAAGCAAGATGAGCGCTACAACCCCAGAGTCGTCCGCGACTGGACCTAATGGTCAGGGGTCCCTTTACCTTTACAATGAGGGACAGCCAAAATGGTGCACTTCAGATGGGATGCTGGACTACTACTACCAGTATCCCTGACCACTGGCCGCGCTGGCTGGGACTGATAGGAGCTGTAGTCTAGCAACCCAAGTGGAAAGAAAAGCAGTACTGTAATAGCTAACCTTTCTCGTCTTTGTAACAGTTTACCCATAACACAACGTGATTAGCTGAACCCTAATTATGGTTCGTGGGCAGGCTATATGTAAGCAGTCTCCTACTATGTTTAGGCCTGCTTAAAGAATTGAAAATCATGGACCTGCTGTTTTTGAAGACAAAAGTATCAAGGCCTGAAAGTAAAGTAAATATGATTAAAAGAAAGGACATGTCTTAGATCAGAATGGAGTGGGTAACTCATGTAGCAGCAACTCCATGTGGACAGAGCTGTCTCACTGCTATTGATTCACAAAGAACTTCCATATGCACAAACTTTCTCAGTCACTTTTTAAGTGGTCAGACAAATCCCAAATGCAGTGAGGAGAGTTTCCTTAGAATCACAACAGTGATTGGGACAGTTCTTGACGCACATGAGAGTATACAGAACTTCAGTCTGACAAGTACCCTACACACCTGTGACTTAGAATACTGCACACTGGTTGCAATTGATCCAATACTAGATATATATAAAGATATGGTAATTTTAAGGCTTCTGATGTGTTCATATATACTGGTAGATCCTTTGCTAATTTGGTAGGTTAAGTTATTAGCAGTGAAAATATCACCAAAAAGTATGTGACTACAGTTTCAAGGTCAACAACTTTGAGTGGACCAATCCTTAAAAAAGGTCAGGCAAAATGGTTCAACCCTTATGCATGTCCACTTCATCAAATTTGGCCCTCTTTGAAAAAAGTTTGGATGCCCTTGCCTTAGTGGAACTGCTACTGCAAGTCAAAGCATCCACTTTTCAACCATCTTCTACCAACCTATGCAACCAGGGCCATCTTTGCCTGGGGGTGCTAGGCACCTGGGGGCCAAATTCTGGGGGGTGCCAGGTGCCCGCCGCTGAAGCTGCCTAAGCTCTTAACTATCTACCTGTTACGAAATAATAAATAATTTTGATCAAGCTAGAAAAACAAAATACATGTGGTGCAGTGGTACATCTGGTTAAGAACTTAATTCGTTCCGGAGGTCCATTCTTAACCTGAAACTGTTCTTAACCTGAAGCACCACTTTAGCTAATGGGGCCTCCCGCTGCCGCTGTGCTGCCGTCGTGGGATTTCTGTTCTCATCCTGAAGCAAAGTTCTTAACCCGAGGTACTATTTCTGGGTTAGCCGAGTCTGTAACCTAAAGCGTCTGTAACCCGAGATATACCACTGTATTACAGAAATGTATACCTACTGTTTCACTAAAGGACTTTCAACTTTGTGTGATCATTTATCAAAGATGCGCCGCGCCAGCGCTTGTCATTCAACTAAATTTGGGGGCGCGGGGTGGATCTTTGTATCCCGGTGGCGCATATGCTAAAGACCCCACTATATGCAACCACATCCTACAGAACATCCCCCCTCCATCTCAAGAATAGTTTTTCAGGAGGAATAAGGAGCTTAAGTAGGAACAGGGAATCAGTAAAAAATGGGTGCCTTGCTAGGGCTTGTCCAAGACATTTGCCAAATGGTACCTCATCTCATCCATGTACAAAAGCCATCCAGACTGGCAACTGAATCTTACTTCAACACTGGCAAGAGGGCAGCATATTTCACCATACCTGCAGGCAAGCTATGTAGCACTCATAGCTCTGTCCTCCAGTGTCTTGCTGCCACTCCCTACTTACCAGTATCCACTCTTTGAGGCAGTTGCCTCACATTGCCTGATGGTTGTTGGGCTGCCTTCTACCTCATGCAAATGGAAGTGTTTTCTGTCAAGGCAAATCTACCCTTGAATACAACCCAATATATGTGCAGGTGATAATTTTGAAAGAAACCAAAATGAGGAGCAAATCAGCTCTCAGAACCTGCACATCTGCTTCTTCATTTTAAGTCATAGTTTGGCTTATTCTTAGGTCTGAACCAGGTCACTGTCTGGATCCAGAGAGAGAGCACGCTACACTGAAAGGTTTCAGTGAGACACTAAAACTAATTGCTCATACAAAGAGCATACAAAATCAGGTAAGGAATTTCTCAATGGCAAGTTTACTTACAAGTTTAAACTTCTGTCCTGCTCCATTAATATTGCCAATTTAGCCTAAGCAATAACTTGTTTCTGGCAAGATCCTTAGAAAAACTATGGTTTTGTATTGGGGTGGTATTTAAACTGCTTCTCATTCAGGTGGCTTCCTGAATCAGCACTTTTGCTTTAGCAGCACACAAGCCATGATCACAAGTTCCCTTTTGCTACCCACCAGTAGTAAGAAAGAAGGGAAAGACAGGGTGGGGGCTGAATTTTTAAGGGATGTAAGATTATTATGTCAAGAGCAGACTGTTTGGGTGAGTATTAACAGGTGCACTACCTCCTAGATCAAGTGGGGGTAACTAATGAATATTTAAGGCAATAATATGACTTTAGTCAGTTCAACAGTAGAAGACAATAATCTAAAACATAAAATTCAGCTAGGCAAGTAACTCCCGCCACTTACATAAAATTTTATAACCTCAAACCAAAAGCATCAATCAAAGAATGTTATCTCCAGCAGATAAACTGTAGGATGAGATAAGTTCCCTTTTGAAAACTGGGGCTTCGTCAAAAAATACATTCAAAGTTAGGGCTGAAGATAATTCTAGGTACTTCATTAAGCTGTGACACCACAACTCCACAGAACCTATTTCATAAAGTGTATATACCACTAGATCGCAAGGAAAAACCTCACATGTCCTGTATTTCAGGATGGCTCTGCTCTCTAAAGCCACAGCTCTACAGCAGCCCTTTTTGATTGACTGACAACAGCGTAATGCCACAAGGTGATATTTACCTACGGTTACTTGTTCTTGGAAACTGGTTCTTAGCTGCAGACCCAATTGATTTAAAGGCTTCATCAAAAGGTGTGGATTTTTGTGCATAATTATTTTAGGACTACATACCTTACTCCGAGTAAGAAAGACAGAGAAGCCATCTCCATTTTTA